ATTAATGACATTTAATAATATAATTATAAATAATGTATATAACAGCATGACAAACACAGAAAAAAAGTAGTATTTCTTTTTAAAAACTCACCAGGAACCACTATCACGTACCCGACAGTGAGAACAAAATAATACAATTTCTTGTCAAGGCAAATATGTTTAGAAGAAACTTGCTGTATACATTTCTGCATTTTATGATTTTTATAGACAGCTTAATACAGATACTTAAGATGCAAATGACAACCCAGAAACAGATTTTCAAAATATTGATTTTGATAATGGGCTTAATGACAGCATAACAATATCTGAGATACAAAAAGCAATGGTCAAAGTTAAAAATGGTAAGGCGGCTGGTCTGGATCAAGTTACTAACAAATATATTAAGGGGAACAGTACTTTACTTATACCACTATATCAAAAATTGTTTAACTGTATTCTAAACACTGGTCTTTCTGACAGATTCTTGGTCGACAGGATGTATTATCTCAATCTATAAAAAATAAAGGTAATATTGAAATGCCTGAAAACTATATAGCTACTACATTGTTTAGTTATATAGGGAAATTATTTACAAGTATAGTAAATGGAAGATTGACAAACTATCATGAAAGTTATAATTTATTAAATTCTTAGGAAGCATCGTTCAACTGTTGATAATAATTTCATTCTCCAAATTTTAACAGATTACCTTAAACATAAGAAAACTATTATTTTGTGCTTTTATTGATTTTCAGGAGAGCAGTTGTTTGGTGTAAAATTGTCAAATATAATATTCCTGGAAAGAACTTGAATATAATTAAAAAAAAACTTGTATTGTGAAATCAAGTTATCTGTAAATGGCAAATTTTCATTTTTTTTGTTACAGGGGCTTTAAATATGTAGAAAATTTGACACCGGTATTTTTTTTTCTGTATCTTAATGACTTAGAGAATTACATGTTATGTAATAACGATGTTTCAATTATACTAGAAATTAATAACATTGAAATATTTTTGAAATTAGTTGTTTTGTTATATGCTGACGTTACCATTCTTTTTGCTAAAATTGAACAAGATCTTATATTTCTGTGTTGAACACCTTTTCAAATTATTGTCAACCCTGAAAATAAATGTAAACTTTGATAAAAGAAAAGTAATGGTATTTAGTGATAAAAGAAATAGACACAGGAATATTATGGTAGATAATCACGTTTTAGAGATCCTCGACACGTTTAAAAACCTATGTGTAGTTTATTCTAAGAACAGACAATTTGCGGTTGCAAAGAAACATCTTGTTGAACAAGCAAGACGTGCAAATATTTGGTTTTTATAAGAAAATAAGAAATCTACATTTACATATTTTACTGTCAGTTAAAGTAATTGGATCATACAATTCTTTTTCAATTTTTACTTATGGAAGTTTGGGACTATGCGTACATGCCGCTTATAGAAAACAATGCATACAGATTCCATTTAATATGTATTTCATGTTAAAAATGTAGAACGCATGTTATGGTTTATGGCGAACTTGGGCGATTCTCATTATCAATTACTATTTAAAAAAAGAATTGCTGGTTACAAGTACTTGTTAGATTCATTTGAGTCAACAAAAATTAAGCAATACAATTGTCGTCAAATATTTATAAGCTTGTATCCGAAGATTTTGTAAGAATAGAAAAGAGTACAAATGGTAATGTTAAGAGTATTTTTACGAAACAGGTATGAATTATATTTGGTTAAATCAGAAGTTTACTGGTTCAAATCACTTACTGTTAAATTCCTTGATATATCAATGTGTAACCAATATGTACAAAATTGGCGTATTATTTTCGATTCAATCCAAAAGTACTTAAATTATAAATGTACAAAACTGATCATTGATTTGAACCGAACCTTTGTTTACTCTCAGACAAACATTTAAAAACATTTTTTTAATTTTCGATTGTGTAAAATCCCCTCCCTACAGAAAGAGGAAGATGTTTAGGTATTGTTCGAAATGAAAGAAAATGTAGTCTTTGAAACTCAAATGATATAGGTAATGCATTTCATTACATTCTTTCATGAAGTTATTTTGAAAATAAACGAAAACGACTCTTACAACCAATTAATCAAATAACAAAAATATTTTAATGTTTAGGAAATTAATGAATGAAACAGATCCACAAAAATTAAACAACATGGTTCAATTTGTTTGTGATATACAAGAACGCTTTAAGAACCCACTTAGCAAGTCACCTTGTTTTATTTATAATCTATAAATATTTTCTGTTTTACAATATTTAGCATGTATACATACCGGTAGTTAGTTACATTGTAGATTATGAAATATTGTAGTCATAAATACTTTTTAAACCTGCAATAGTTCATTGAATTTGTATACACAACCTGATTACAAATTTGGCACATTTGTTTATATATTATTGAAAACCTCTTATCATTTGTTAATTGTTTGAGTGTATCAATAAAAACCTGAAATTTTGAAACTTGCAAATTTGATTAGATACAGGGCGATAACGTGGTACAGTTAAAAGAAGTGATTTACTTGGATAAACAATGTATATGTAATATAATTTGTTGGTATTCAACTATTAATATATGAACAAGAAAACACGATTTAACCCTGTTTTGTGTAATAAACAACTATAACCATATCTTGCTCTGACTGTCGATCCCAGTGTGTGACCTTGACCATGACCAAAGGCCTTAAGGACCTTTTTTTGCGTCTGCATTTGAATGGTGAATATTTGTGGCATTTTAGAATACTAAAATTCTATTGCGCAAGTAAAGTTTTGCTTAGAACAATCATTTTGTTCTAACCTTTTAATGTGATCTTGACCCTTGACCTGGCTATCGCGTATTTGTATTATCATCACGGACATTTGTATCCGGTCAATTTTGTGTGGCATTACAATTATGACTGAAAGAGAATAGAAAACATCCAGTTATCAATTTCTTATATTGCAAAACCAATATACATGTATTTTTGCTCGATTTCTCAAACATGGATTTGAACAGTAATGCTTATCTTCCATATAGAATCAAGTATAAGGTTTTCCATACTATGTCCGCCATCTATAAATTGCAAATCCCTTGCCTTTCTGTTGTGGGCGAATGTTTGTTTTTTTGTTTATAGAATGGTACACAGCGAACATATAACGTATGCACCACAAGCACAACAATGGCCTTAGTGTTCTGGACAAATGGACAAAAGTTAGATGTTGAAACATGACTTTTTTTTGCGACAGCCGGTTCAAAAAGATTATTGTTATTGTATCATTTTTTTGTGAGTTTTTTTCTCGTTATTTTGTTTTGTTTTTGTTTTATTTGTTTTTTTTGTGTTGTTGTTTTTTTCTTTTTTTGTTTTTTTTTTTGGTTTCTTTTTTAACTTCTTTTTTTTATTTTGTCTCTGAATTTTTCTCACAGAGAAGCCGTCACTGTATTTCTTGGGGTTTCAATATGAAAATGTTACATGTACAAATGAGTATCTTGAAATAAAGTGCTTGGCCCGATTAGTCTGATTATTGTTTTGGTGGCATGAAAGCCATTCATATGACCACCTGGCATGTTATAACTTTTCGTATGAAACAGTATCAATACAGCGAAAGAAATGTTGTTTGTACAACTACGGAAAATCAAACAATAAAAATGCAAAAAGCGTTTGTTTCTTTTTTTCTTTGCGAATTTAATAATTTAATCTTTAAGAGTACATATAAACACAAATGTCTGTTTATTCTATTCTGATTCTATTGATATTGTTGTTGTTGTTGTTTCAAACGTGTGCTCATTTTATCTGCAAAAGAACTTCTATGATAAAGCAGCAAATAATACAATTTGTAAAATATTTCTCATATCAAGAACATAAAAAATTCTTAGAGTGAACATAGTTAGATAGTGTTAGGATTAGAGAGAAACTTCCATATTCTTATGAATTTTAGATTCCCTTTTTTTCAGACCGTATTTATAGTGTGAGTAGTCAGTCAGATTTCATAATGGTGAGTTAAAATTTATGATGTTTTTTTTAAAAAAAAAAACCCTACACAAATGATTAATTGTATCAAAACACAATTCGTGTGGGGCCAAGTTATCAATTTTTAATCAAATGTTGAAGGATCTAAAACTTAGAAAACTGATTGCTCAAACGAAATAACGAAATAAATCAAACGCACTAATACCTCTTTTTCTGAATTCAAAGTATCTTTATCATAAAATTTTTAATCTGTTTTATTATTTTTATTATCATTTAACATATTTCAATTTCGCTCATTTTTGACCCTGTAGCTTAGTATAATGGATCTTTTTTTATGAATCCAACACTAGGTTTTATGTTATACGTACCTATGGACAACCGCACGAGCTACATATATCGCAGTAAGAGGAGTCTTTCAGAAGCTGGGACTCGAAGAATGCCAACGCGCGGTTATCTGAATAACATGGATCAATAAAATTATATAGCAAAAGTAGTAATTAGAAATGAATCATATACAAAGATGATCAATGATGATGATGATGATGATGACTATGCTGGTAGTACTGCTACTGTTTCTACTAATGATGATGATGATGAAATGGAGGATGATAATGATGAGGATGATTATTATTATTAAAGTATTATTATTATTATTATTATTATCATTATTGTTATTATTACTATTATTACTATTATTATTATCATTATTATTATTATTATTATTATTATTATTATTATTATTATTATTATTATTATAATGTTAACGACAACAACACTAACTCTGCTGCTAATGATGATGACGATGCTAATGATGATGATGATGACAATGATGGTGATAATGATGAAGATGATGAAATGGTTGGTGATTATTATGGTAACGACATCAATGATAATGAAGTTGATGATGATGAAAATATTTTATTGCATATTATGTAGTTTAACAAATGTTTCAGACTTTAATAATTATATCAATCGCAAATCTTTTCAATCTGATGTCTGGAACTTTGAATAATAACAATACGGTAAACAAAAACAAAGACAATTCAAATAAACCTTCAACATTTTTGTGAACAGTTCTGGGACATCTATAACCCGCGTCCTAAGTAAAATATCGGATGTTATTGTAGATATATTACCTGGTTCGTAGTAGTCAAATACCCGGATGGCAGCAGGTTTAGTTTTGGCAACAAGGTCTGTTCTGATCAGTTCTACAGTGGCACATGTTTGTGGATAGACGTTTGGTAAGATCTGATTACAAATATATAACAACAGTTACTTATATCAGCTTCTGATAAAACAACTATCTATTACTGGAATAAAATGTGTTTGGAGCAAGTTTATTTATTCAAAGAGCTGTTACATCACATATTTTAGTGGATACTCCGGACTGTTATTACGCATCAAAGAATTCAAAGTGTCCGCTTGAATCGCGACATGGAAAGAAATTCAAAAAGAAATAAATCAAACTTAATCTACAATAGCGTATAGACCTATGAGTTTAATTTAAAGGCACATTAAGCCATATAAAAGAATCAATACTATTTTCTGTAGAAAAGTTAAAACTGTTTCATAATGCCGTTGTAATGGACTTAGAACATATTAGATCCTAATAACTTGTATGAAGTAGTACTAAATGTGAAATATTCTGTAACAAACTCAGCCAAATGGGGGTATTTTGACTTCCATACAAAATATTAAATTCGTATACTAGTAACTGTACAGATTGACAAAACAATGGTTAAAGCTATAGCAAATATAAAAATTAATTTGTATTTCTGAAGCTTGAGGGGTCTTTAACTTGAAATAAGTAAAATAAAACCCTACCTGATCATAGTAAAGGACAACGGTCTTTTCATCTCTGATTTCAGATTTTCTAACTTTGTCAAGGTGCGTATCTGGACTCTCCAAATCAGCTGAGAAACCGGAAGGAAGGTCTATCTCTATAACGGCCATGCCAGGGTTGACGAAACGCTGTGGCAGGTATCTGTAAAAATAGAGATTTTTCAACTCAAATATATATCATTACAAATTTTACAATCTAAAACGAATATTCTTGATGACTTGATCACACTTCTTTCAAATATTCAAAAATAATTATTTGAACTATTATATAAAAAGAAAAAAGAAGTATGTCTTGTGTATTGTTGGGGTTTTTGAATTACATTAACTGACGACTGGCTTTGTAGTCAATATGGGGACACATTGCCAAAATATCAAATAACTTTTAACTGAACTAATTGCCAATCTGCAAAACAAAACAACAAAAGATGACTTAGGTATATAGCAAATGAGTAATTTTATAGAAACTGTAGCGGAACACCAAAAAGAAAAAAGCTTTTGAAAAAATAAAATGATGCATTTTTGAGAGTGAGACTAATTTAACTGGCACCTTGTACACGTCTTTAGGACAATCGAGCGAAGTGTTTCCCGTAAAATGGTTGTCGTTATGTTAAACGCTGGCAGGGATACTTCTGTTTCTACATTGAAAGTAACTGAAACCTGTCGAATAATAAATCAAAAAATGTATTAACATGCGTTAAAAGGATCGGTGTCATATATTTCTTTTACAAACACACTGATATAAAGTCATACATTTTAGACAATTAGTGTCACGATCGAATCCGGACCAGAAGATTATATTCGAGCGGATCTGACCAAGTGCGCGATGTAAAAATGATATGACAATTGAAAGAAAACCGTTCATATATAAATAAAATAGCATATACATGTAGATAAATACCCAACGAATAGAATTAATCAACGAATACATGTACTACTATTGCCTATTATTTCAATCATATAGAATTTTATTTAGATTTACAAAAAAAGTCATGTACTTCCATTATGAATAACTCTTACTTGAACTAAGGCAGAGCCGGTTCCGTGACCAGTTAAAGACACTGCTGGAGGATGGTTGAAACTGTTGTTCATGCGGGGACCAAGTGCATTTGCAGGAATCTAAAAACAAGAATATGTATGTAAAGGTATACCAGCAAACGGTTTGTTACACCGGTACTCTTTACACGCATCTAGATGAATGATGAAAGTGATATTTTTTTGTAGACCAAAGAAGCGAGATCGAACTCCACGTTAAGCCTTTTTTTATCTTTTTACTTTCATTCATTGGCTTGGTTCTATAAAAAAATTTCATTTGGTCGGAAGCCGGTAATTAGCGAACTTTTTATTATATATTCGTGTTAGAATAAAAGAATAAAAAAATTTCTCATTTAATAAATGTTCAATTTGTAGAGAAAGAACAGTGTTTCTTGAGAATATGTCAATAAATGCGATTAAATTACTAGTGATATGATATTATTTTCGTATTATAACGTCTTTATGTTCACATAATAAGCTATCAAAAATTAGACATACGTCGAGGAGTTTTAGGACCATGGCCTCGTTCTGGTTTATATGAATGTTCTTGTGAAAGGGACCAGACTCCACGTCAATTGTTAGATCTAGGTTATCTTTGAATATTGATCCATATTCCGACATAGCTTGCAGTCCAAGAACTGTATCCTGTAATCAGATTACATGTCCAAGAATGATTGCATAAACATTGCATTGTATATAAATATATGTTGAAAGATAGTGGTTCATCTTTAAACAATCTGGAAAAGATTGGGAGGCAAAACAAACGATTATATGGTCGTGTGCCATGAATTAACATTTATATATTTGTATCAACTGCAAGCTTAATATATAACACTAGACGTAAGACAAGGGTTATGTAGTTAACAACCCTTTATATAATCAATTATAAATTTATTGACAGGCTATATAAACGGTCGTTTGTATTTATTCATTTAATAACAATAGCCGTGTTTAACTAAACTAAATTAACTTATTTGACACTTACCTGTGTGGATCTGAAACCTCCTCTCGAGTTACGTTGAGCTACTAACCATTGTAGAATGGGGAAGCCTGTCTGAAGCTGCCTGCTATCAATAAGGTATAATAACGCATACGATGCAACCTCAATCTCTAATGGTGGACTCTGGTAATAACTGTACTGCCAGCTACTGAACTGGTGTCGCCTTGTCGAGTTCCAAAACATTTTCCCATCTACCGAAAAGGAAAAAGAAACATGTAAACATTTAGTAAAAACTTGTAAAATTCCGGCCAATTTCATCACTTTCCGCGTCATAATATTATAGATATCAAGGAAATGGCTGGCTTATTTCACCATGTTCAGGCAATATAGTGACAAGGACTAAAGACACTGTGACCTCATTCATTTTTTTAGAGACAATAATAATACAATAACTTTTGTGGTTTTATCAAAGAAAATGTTGTTTTATTATTTTTTTTGATGAAATGAAAAAAAATATGTCCTCTCCTAATGTGACACGTAATAATAAAGTATTAAAAACAGGGAAAGTTTAAATCATTAACTTTTTTCCCTATCACATCTATTAGTTTCTTTGCAAAACAAAAAGAACTTTAACGATTATAAAATTCAGTATATAAATATGTATGATTTAACATGAAAATGATGAAAGAATATACCTCCAGTTCTTACAGCCATTTTCTCAAGTTTCGTCCACGCTTTATATGAGTGGATACTTCCAGATTTGCTGAGCGCATAACTGACTATGGATAACTCGTACGGATCGTTGAGAGTGTCTGAGCGGACCGCATTCTCTAAATACGTCCTCGCTTTAACGACGCCATTGGCGTAGTTATACAAATGGTATGGACTGTTCTACAATACATTTTCATTGACATATTTTAATATTTACTCGATTTTAGAACAAAAATATAATTTATTCACTCTATAGTTGCTTGTTTTTTTTGCGATCTATTTTCCAGCTATTACAATTCTTGCAACAACAAGAAGCTTGTGATTCAGCATGAAGCCTTTTGACACTAAGGTACTTAAATTATTTGCTTAACTTACAACCAGTCAAACATATACCATTTTAGCCTGTTATCCTTACTCGAAACACAACTGATAAGAGTAGCATGTCGTCTGATTGTTCTTATACTTTTTATCGTGTCATATTTTTAACGATTTTCAATGATACTTAGCTAAGGTTTACGTTTCCCGAAAATATTTACGTATAGAAGTAAAAACAAATATAAAATTACATGGATGGTATTCTCGGCTTCGGCAAGGGCGATCAGCACGAACGCTGTGAGACTATAACCAGAGCTTGATCCTCCCTGAAACACAGTTGGCACGATGTTATCAGTCAATTTTCTAATCACATTAATAATGAGCAAATATAAAAAAAATGCTCTGAGCTAGCTGGGAAAACATTTTAAATGCATACAGTTTCATAGAGTAGACACATATAAGCAATCTATGTGAAATATTTAAAATTCAATCCTCAAAGCTGGTACAATTCAATATTTATGTGCTCATGACATCTTCTTCTTCTTCTTCTCCTTCTTCTTCTTGTTATTGTTAGTATATTGTTGTATGTATATTGTTTGTATATGTTTTTCAAAAGATTGTCTCACCCTAAGTGAAGAGCTATGTACGCTTCCAATTTGTCTGAAAGAACCGTCGTAGTTCTGGTAATTGAGCATCCACTGTGCTGCTCTACTTAAAACGTAATCTGACACATACACGTGCTCGTGTGCTTGGTGGAAAGACTTCAACACAAACGCTGTCAACCTAGTTTGGATAACAACAAAGATTTATCCGTCGTACTGTTAATTAATGAATGATTCAAAAATGGTTGACATGTGCTTCAATAATATTTATCTTAACATTTCATACAGGAAATTAAATAATATTAACCTTAATATTTTCACACAATTTGTAGCTATGTAAACGTAATTATACAGAAATTTATTTTGTAACGTACATTTGGAAAACACCAAAGCACACACATTTGCAACGAATCGAGTGATGAAGCTTTTCCACCACAGTGTCTATAGGACAAGACTGGCCTGTACATCCCTGCAGCCTGACCAGATTATATATACTGTTCTAGCCCTTTTCTTATTGTAATACTGAAACCCGTTAAACCTTAAGATAGGCTGTTCCAATTAATAAATAATGGGTAAATTCATTGTACAAATTAAGAATGTTAAGGCTTGAAAAAGGTTAAGGCTTGAAAAGGAATGAAAAAGGTTAATGCTTAAAAAGGTTTAAGGCGTAAAAATGGTTAAGGCTTGAAAAGGTTAAGGCTTGAAAAGGGTTTAGAATTGAAAAATGTTATGGCTTGAAAAGGGTTAAGGCTTGGAAGGCTAAAAAAGGCTGAAAAGGGTTAAGACCTCAAAAAAGGTTAAGACTTGAAAAAAAATTGATAAAGGTAAAGGCTTGAAAAGGGCTTAGACTCCAAAAGGTTAAGGCTTGAAAAAGGTAAGGCTTAGAAAGGGTTAAGGCTTCAACAAGGCTTTATAAAGGTTTAGGCTTGGAAAGGGTAAATACTTCATAAGGTTAAGGCTTGAAAAAGGGCTTGATACAGGTTAAGGCTTAAAGATGGTTACGACTTCGAAAAGATTAACACTTCAAAAAGGTTAAGGCTTGAAAAAGGGCTTGATAAAGATTAAGGCTTGAAAAACAGAAATTTTAGTTTACTCACCACATGCTTCCTACACTATCACGGGGACCCCAAATACTAAAAGAACCATCATATCTTTGGAAGGTCAACTCACGTTGATATCCTGGCAATAATATCATATGAGCCGTGTCACGACAAAACCAACATTATGGGTTTGCGACCAGCATGGATCCAGACAAGCCTGCGCATCCGCGCAGTCTGATCAGGATCCATGCTGTTCGCTTACAAACCCTATAACAAGTAAAGAAACTGATAGCGAACAACATGGATCCTGATCAGACTGCGCGGATGCGCAGGCTGGTCTGGATCCATGCTGGTCGCAAACGCACTATGTTAGTTTTGTCATGGCGCGGCTCATATATATACAATTTTCTAACATACAATATTGTTGTTTATTTTATAAAATGTACTACATGTTAAAGTGTTTGTCAAAATTAATGACATGATAAAGAAAATATGATTAGTCTTTTTATTTTTTTAACAAATGATGATCCCACCGCCTCTCCCCCCACCCACACACACACCGCTAATACTCCTTGTGTGTTTTGTTTACAACATGGTGTAGAGATATTTATAAAAAATTCATAATCATCATAATTTGAGCTGCGTCATGACAAAACCAACATAATGGGTTTAGTCTGATCAGGATCTATGCTGTTCGCTTACAAACCCTATAACAAGTAGAGAAACTGATAGCGAACAGCATGGATCCTGATCAAACTACGCGGATGCGCAGGCTGGTCTGGATCCATGCTGGTCGCAAACCCATTATGTTGGTTTTGTCAAGACGCGGCTCATTTCTTCTTCAAACATGCATTGCAATTGGAAAATCAAATTCTTTGTAAATAAAGAAAAAGGTTTTTGTCAAAAGACTAGAAAAGTCAATAAACAAATCCTTCAATTTATTCTGTCAGTCAAAAGGTACCTTCATCACAATACCCATATCACGTGACATCCCACGCGTTATTTTATTATTAGAGTCTGCCAGAAAGCCAATACATAAGACGGTCCCGGTTTTATTTTCTGCCGTAACCTTTTGTAAAAAAAATCAATTTATTTTCGAGATAAAGTGAAGAACCCGCTCATTCTATAATGAGGAAACCATACGGTAATTGTTTCCTAGGAAATAATTTCTTTTTCTTTAAGCGAAACCGCGTGAATATTTGATTGTTCAAACACAAAGATTTCTTTTTAAACATTCGATGTTACTCGTTCTACAATTAATTGTTCTTCATTTTATCTGATTAAAAGAAATGAAATATTTAAAAACTAATGGAAGAAAATGAAACTGGCACCGTTTATTGTTTAGTTTTTGCCAAAAGTGTCACGTAGTTTAGACACTGTGTTTATATACCTTTATACATGTAGTCTAGGGCCATTTCTGCAATATCTTGTTTCAACTTGTTTGTTTTTCGTAGATAATTGTAGACGAAAACATCCGGTGCCAGACTGGTCATCGTCTGCTCTCCACATCCGGTTGGCATTCTTAGTAAACTTTTTAGGTTCTTTATGGTGGGACCCATTGTATCGCCTGCATAAAAAGATATTTGTTATTTTTAATTGGTATTTGTAATTGACTTAATGATATGTATTTTTGTAGGAAACATTTGTTACCGATAAACCACAAAAAATATCAGTGAAATAGCATTCTGTTTATTGAATGTTTGTGCTGTTATAATAAATGTATTTATTTGAAATTGTTTTGGTTCTTTGCGGCAAGCGACATTGTCGTCAATGGAAAAAAAATTAATACGAGTGGTTTCAGGTCATGTTTTTTTTATGAAATATGTTTGCCTTACACAATGGTTATTAGCACAGTCTAAGAATATATTGAAAGCCCCTCGTAGTAAAGTTATACTTCATACCATTTCAGTCTTTGAAAAAAAAATGTTTTCGTACAGATATATTTTAAAGAAATATTCTTTGGCTGCTACTTTACCTATAACATATATATCTTAATTTAGGTTTTAACCTTTCAAAACAAAACGATACACTAAGCATACTTTATTTAAAAATATATCTACTTAACAGTTAACATTATTTTACAAGTGAAACTTAATGAAAACTGTGGACTTTTTCCGACAAAGCCTCATCATTATTTCACTCTACAACTGGTGTCTACAGATCAAAACCTATTTATTTTCAACGAATTATCCAAATAAGTAGAAGAAGTAAACGGCGACGGTAGATACAACCGACATGCGCAAAACTTGTTGTGTGTAAACTCATTCTGCAAAAAATTCTCTCTTAAGCAATGGGAGCAGACAAAATTTTCTTTCTTCAGTTTTACGTATTTTAATTTATAATAAAATAAAAAAATATTTTACCTATTGCTGACACTTGAATCTTTTGGGAATCTGTTACAAAAGTTGGCGGGAAACTTAGAGGAACATCTACTGAGGTGTCCTTGTTGAGAATCAATGGAACGTTGAAATGCATTGGTGTTCCTTCAGCTTCCACAATCAGTTCTCGCTTCACTCTATCAGCAGAGAATGGTGTTTGTGCCTTAACTGTGATGGTAGCAACGCCAACGATGTCCGCGACTATAGGTATAAACACTGATTCCGCCTGGCCGGCTACAATCTGTTAATGTGATACAAAATGATACAAAAAACTGAATAAGTTTCTATGTTTTGTCCGATTTCAAGCAATTTTCATCGTATTTTTCCATCCATTAAGATTCATATTTCATATATAATAGTCTTACCAATTGGACTTATATAAACACTTTTTGATCATTGGAATCTTAATAGCACAAAACGCAATTGATTTTACATTTTAGCTAGCATAGAGGATCTAACGGATTGGATTTTCACAGATATACAAACAGTTGTTAAAGAATTTTCCCTACTCTAAAATTCAACACTGGATTTGTATTTTTTTACTAACATACCAAAAATTGCTATTCGACTTTGCTATCATTTAGTCTAGCTTGCATAAAACTCATTATTATTATAAAAAAGTTACTTATTACGGTTAATGTTATACTCTGTAGAATAAGTACTGGAATATTATACTTACATGTATATTTTTAACAACTTCTTTGGCAACAAAAGTTACATGTCCGTTGGAGTCATTTAGTATCACTTTAAAGTCGCTAGATTGTTCCAGTGTCACAACAACCTGTGCCAATATCACACGAAACAAAATATAAACAAAGTATATGTTAGCGTTTATTAAGTGAAATTTAAACAATTAAGAACCAAAAAGAAAGCGACCGTCAGGAAGCAATTTCATTGAATGGCAAATTATGTTGAACACTTAATCCGAATTATTTATCACTCCAATGGATTTTATATTCATTAACACAAAATATTTAGTGAATGAATTAATCAATCAATTACTTATTAGGTAAAATAATGCGTCATGTCGAAATATTCGGCTCACAAATAGCTCATAATGTTTTACGGATACCACGATGCACTCAAAAGACTACACAAAAAAACGACCTTAAAATTATTTAAACTAAAATCCTTCAGATGGACTACATTTGTGAAGAATGGCCATAAAGAAGACTTCATTAGTTGCAGAACTTACGTCAAGATCTTGTCCCATGTAGTTAAAAACGTTGGCTTGTAGCACAACCTGTTCACCTCTGACAATGGAGTAGGGAAGGTTCAAGTTGATGAAAAACGGACGGAAGGTAACAAACTAGAAAAAAAAGAAGTAAATTAAAGATTTGTTTTCAAAATGCTAATATTTTATCATAAATGAGGCTCTCATCGTTTAAGGTTCGAGCCACACAAAAGTCGTCGCATTCTTCATGTGAGAAAGCTATCTAGCTAGCTGGTTCTACTCATGTGCCCATTTGTGCCTGAAATGATGTGCAGGAGAGCACTTGAGATCTTCTTTCACATGAAATGTAGAAAGTGTTTCACATGATCTTGACTGTGTTGGTGCGAGGTAAAACCAAACAAAATAGTCATAAGAAATATATAAAGTAACGGTATATATAAAGCAGTTAAAAGTCTTCAGCATACGAACACTTTCCCTATCATGGCGATGCATGTTTACATGCCGAACTTGCGGTAGATGTTTTTACACTTTAATTTATGACACGTGTACCCTAAACATTTGTGATATATCATTGAAACCTTAATTTATCACATATGTACGTTGTACATGTTATCAATTATTTTTTCTGTATAAATTAATTAAAATAATATAGATCTTATAAAATTAACCTTGCTAGGTCCATCAGTTACTCCCAACCCAGATTGTTTGTTGACAGAAAAGGCCGTGGTATACCAAGAGGTTATTGTATCTGGTACAGTGGTCGTGAGGACAGCATTGCCACTGGCACTGCAATATGATACAATCAGAATAACAAAAATATCATAGCTTTGAGCCATCGAATTTTGTATTAAACATGTATGCACGGAAAAGCTTCAATTTGAACTGTCTGGTTGCTTATTCCTCTATATGCTATGTTACAGAAATAACCGATCTTATTTTCTTGGTTTGAATTAAAAGTTATTTAATAAATATGCTGGTTTGGCGAAGATATCAAAGCATCTATCAGCTGTTTGTATGAACATGGAAATGAATGGTATACCTTCATAAAAACCGCAATATTTCACGGTTACACGAATATTGTCTCGATTCTATGATTCTTAAAGAGTTCGTTCTGACCTTTTACCAAATGGCGTTATATAGGACTTGAGCTATTTTCTAAGTGCTGTATAGGACTTGGGCTATTTTCTAAGTGGCGTAATATAGGACTTTGGCTATTTCCGAATGGCGTTATAACGGACTTGAGCGAATTTTTAAAAGACTTGGGCTATTTTCCAAGTGGTGTTATATTGGACTTGGGCTGTTTTCTAAGTGACGTTATATAGGACTTGAGCTTTTTTCCAAGTGGCGTTATATAAGACTTGTACTATTTTCCAAGTAGCGTTATATAGGACTTGGGTTATTTTCCAAGTGGCGTTATATAGAACTTGGCCTTTTTTCCAATTGGCGTTTAATAGGACTTGAGCTATTTTCCAAGTTGCGTTATAAATGACTTTAGCTATTTTCCAAGTGGCCTTATAAAGGACTTGGGCTGTTTTCAGTGGACCACTTCAGAACCGATTGATAATACAACAAACTAGTGTGTGAAAAAGGAAATGAAAATGTCATTCTAGAATCTATCTGCATATTTGCTATTTTCTTGATGTTAGACAACATTAAAAAACCAACAAAGGACCATTATTTATTCTACAAGTCAATGATGTTTTTGTTTAAAAGTGAATGTTTACCCAACGGTGATGTTTGTCCATAGCCATGTTTCAGGGAAGAAATCTCTAGTATGAGTGACCTGTTGAAGTTGGCTACCACCGCCCCCTATTGGAACAGCAAAAATTACAACCATAAAACACATTTCTATTATCCACGTTTATTTCGGTACACGTAGTAATATAAGGTAAATGCACTAGCCTCTATTACTGCCAATAATCAAAGCACTTAAAACGCTTTTTGCGACAGTTTCCAAAAATGGTATGCAAATAAATATTCTCGCTTAGCTTAACACGGCCTCGTGTTTACAAATCATATGCTAAATAGAATTCAAAAGAAAGGATAAATCAAAGCGTTAATGGTTTATGTTGGTTCTTATCAACAAGCATCCTTTTTACAGTACATCTGGGGAAGAAATTGTCTCTTACAAATTCTAAGGCATATGAATTATATGAAATAAATTATAATCGTCTATAAAAAATAGATGTATATTGTGTGATTTCTAAAGGAAAATGATATAATCATACAGTTTAAAAGGTATTTAGCATTTGATAAAGTTGTATGCAATTCATAGAAAGAATATGCCCAGTTTGCTAATAAGTTAATTTTTGTCACAGATTCGATTAACGTGCCTCTTATCTTACATTAACATAAAAGAAATATGTCATTGACACTTTTACGGTTTTTTTTTTTTGTTTTTTTTTTTTGTTTTTTTTTTTTGGTAAATCGTTTTTTATATTTAATACTGGCTCAATAATATCCAAATTTGGTTAATAACCGGTCCAGTATTTGTATTAAGAGAATAGATATATGATGTATGGTTTTATTACAAACGAAATAATGTGCATTCCAGCTTCTAGATTTACACTAGTTACGTCTTATACGCACTTGTAACGTACAATAACGTTTTAATATTGAAATTTCGGCTTGCAACAACTTAATTTAGAAAAAAAAAACGATTACCTGTTGGGACCTTTCCTGGTGCATAGGTCATACCTGTATAAATACAAATGTACTATAAATATAATAGTTTTATAGAAAAAAATCTTAGAATAATTAATATGTACATATTCTTAAGACATCTTTTTTATTTATTCTTAAGACCATGTTTTACTTATATTTTACATTTACATATGATAACTTTAGGTAACACTTTAGTTACCCTTTAAACACAGAATTTAACTTTTAAATGTACATACTTTAGATATCACTTTTGGTTTTTCTCTAAACTCAGAATTTAACTTTACATGTTCTAACTTTTCATATCACTTTCCTTATTCTTTAAACCCAATATTTACATTTACATGTTCGAATTTTATATATCACTTCACTAATTCTTTAAACCCAATATTTCAAAATGTTCAAAATGCACGAAGCGGACTTGCCAAGCGGTATTGACAAAGACAAATCAGTTTGTGTCGGAATATAATTTTCTAATATTTTAACAAATTTTCGATGATATTATTTCTCATAATATTAGTCTCGTCACGATGAAAAACAAAACGCATATATCAACCATTATGCATGCTTTGTGTATATTAAAGTAGCATGCTAATTTTCATGAACATTTTGAAAATGTATTTGAATGTGTAATATTGCGAGTTAACCATCGGAATCAATTTACACATTATCAATGGCACAAAGAAATCACATAAATTACCAAAAATGGGTCAAAATATGCATAAATAGACTTTAGCACGTAAGTTACCCAGTAGAAATAGAGTAGTAGATACTGAAAATTTAGTCATTAAAATATATTTTCGGACATAATATGTAAAATTTTACTTGAAAATTGACACTTTTTACTTTTTCTTACATCCTAGGACAAGTTTGATTTTATTGAAATGTTTGACTCATCTGCAGGCATTAGGTTTACAATAAAGCAAACAAAAAGGATTACCGGGTGCAGGTGTGGGGACCATTCCAGGCACGTATGTCGGGTACATTCCAGGCGCGTATGTCGCTCCTTTAAGAACAAACAATATACATAAATGATGTCTTCATCCGCCGGGATTTTATCAATCAGGTGCATGCATTATTTTCGTACTTTTATCTTTTCATGCTGTAACACGGTGAATTTTGAACGTGTTTCGATTCTTTATAACATCAACCATATGAGACGAAAACTTAAAAAAAAAACGTTCGTATAAATTCGAGTGTTTAAGATCCAAAGCACTATATAATGCTCGTACCTGACAGGGGTTTGCATTCTTTGATTCATTAATTGAAAAAAGTTGACATTTATCACCGTGTATATCTGGTAAAAATAAGACATTGTTGACATACCGTTAGTTTCAAAATTATAAAATTCCCTTTACAAATTAACGTTCTAGTAAAACGGTATGATGTTTTCCTGATAAATTGTTTCTACTGAAATGGGTTATAAATTTTAGTGTTCTTTGTTCTATAATGCATAAAGCTACAATCGCTCCTCATTCCAATCAGTTATACACGGTGATATTTCAGGGTTTTGTCCATGTACCCAGGTGGAATCACGTATTCTGCTTGTTTTTCTTGTCAATAATGGTAAAATTATCATGAAAAAATCTCCATGATGATTTGACCATTATTTAAAAGGTAAATGAGTCAAATGCATGAAGTTGGAGCATTAACCTTTATACAAGGCATTTTTATTATGGAAAATTACCTGGGTATGGTGCCATAGTTGTTGTAAACATTCCTACAAAATTTAAACTCATTAAGGCTTAAACTTAACTCGATACGTGTGTTTGTGTATATCTTATACTCGATACGTGTTTATGTGTACATTTTATACTCGATGCGTGTTTATGTGTACTTTTTATACTCGATACGTGTTTACGTGTACATCTTATACTCTATACGTGTTTATGTGTACATCTTATACTCGATGCGTGTTTATATGTACATCTTATACTTGATACGTGATTATGTGTACATTTAATACTCGATACGTGTTTATGTGTACATCTTATACTCGATACGGGTTTATATGTACATCTTATACTCTATGCGTGATTATGTGTACATCTTATACTCGATGCTTGTTTATGTGTACATCTTATACTCGATACGTGTTGATGTGTACATCTTATACTCGATACGCCTTTATATGTACATCTTATACTCGATGCTTGATTATGTGTACATCTTATACTCGATGCGCGTTTATATGTACATCTTATACTCGATGCGTGATTATGTGTACATCTTATACTCGATGCGTGTTTATGTGGTCATCTTATACTCGATACGCGTTTATATGTACATCTTATACTTGATACGTGTTTATGTGTAAATCTAATTATACTTGATATGCGATTATGTATACATCTTATACACTATACGTCTATAAATGTGTACATCTTAGACTCGATACGTTTATAATTATGTACATCTCATACTCGAAACGTTTTCTTGTACATGCTGACCTTATACCCGAAACCTTAATAAATATGTACATCCCATACTCGATACGCTTTTTGTACATCTGAAACGTTAATAAATATGTACATCTCATTCTCAATATTTTTACGTGAACATGTATACCATGTACTCGAAACGTTTATAAATATGTACATCTCATACTGGTACACTTTCTTGCATATGCACACCTTATACCCGAAACCTTAATAAATATGTACATCTCATTCTCGATACGCTTTTTGTACATCTGAAATGTTAATAAATATGTACATCTCATTCTCAATAAGTTGACATGAACATGTAAACCATGTTCCCGAAACGTTTATAAATATGTACATTTCATACTGGTACGCTTTCTGGCATATGCACACCTTATACCCGAAACGTTAATAAACATGTACAATTCATTGTCAATAAGTTTACTTGCACATGTACATATTATACTCGATACATTTATCTGTTAATACTATACATGAGCTTCATTAAAGTGCACATGTTTTTGCATGCACTGAAGGGAAAAAATTATAATTTTGCACATATCTACAACTTTACATTATCAAAAATACGAAATCAGCACATTTTTACGTAATGATTACTAATATTGAATAAATTTCATTTTCATTAAAACAAAATCTAATACATGTTTACGATTGTCAGTAGTAATACGCTATTAAGCATCGGTTAACCAATTATCATCTGGATTTTAATCGATAAAATAAACTTCATCTATAATTTTATCATATCGATATATTCAATATCTTTGTAAAAAAATATATACAATATTTTGTGTTCGTTCAGTATAGTTGAAAAGGTGAACACCATGAACAAATGATGAAAATTGAAAACGGAAAACGTAGTACCTTGGGTAAAGGGGTTGTTGTAGTGAAATAAGCCATACCTGGATTACAGTCGATCTGACGCTTGTAATACGGGTGAGCCCAACTAAATGTAGATACATCAGTCAGCAGCTGCATACCGCTTGTCTACAATAAAAAAACATGTTATTTTAGCCCGACCTTAACATGGACTTGTCATGATTTCAATTCAGAACGGATTTTTCTTTTTATATCTTTATTATTATGTCTTGCTTGAATTATTTTTTCTATCTTAAATGATTTCGGGTAGTACCATTTGATATTTTGAATTTTGAAGTGATCCTTTTTTTCAAATAGTATAATTGATAAATAAAATTGAATGCCGGAATTGTATTCCACTGAGGTCCGAAAAAATAAGTTTCGAATGTCTCCGTAGATAAGCAGGGACATTTAACACAGAAAGGTATGTATGCAAAAGATTATTAAGAGATATACTCTGCAATAAATTGAAAAACGTATTTTGTGCTATTTTTAGCACCATTCGAGTGAAAAGCGTTGTAAGTTCAAAATGAAGGGAACAAGTAAGTACCTTGAGAACTCGTTTCGGGTCATGGAGTTCACTCGAATCTGATGACGAGTGAGACTTTAATTTCAACGAAGAAATAACCTGAAATTTAAAAAAGTTGCAACAACGATAATTATCTGAAATGTAAAAAATGACTTTAATATAACATTTTTAATATATTTTAATGAAATACTTCTAATGTCCTTCTAATGTCTATTTGACAGCAAGCTTTCAAGGGTACGAGATAGTATATTCGTAAAGTGATGAAAAGAAGCCGAACTAAACGTTATTATTGAGTAATCAACCTTTTTTTCGCAATGGGCATTATTATTATTATTATTATTATTAATATTATTATTGTTATTATTATTATTATTAATAAAAGTATTATTATTATTATTATTATTATTATTATTATTATTATAAGATTTGAAATAATTCTTACATCCGCTTGTGTGACGTCATTTCCGGAAGCTAGTAACAGCACGCTCTGGTCAACCGCAAGAAGGTTAACCATCGATTGGGGATCACTTGTGATGGACAACCTTACATTCTCCCCTGGTTCTGCTTGATTTTTGTCAAATGACAAAGCAACCTAAATTATAAATGAAAAAAACAAAACAATTGTGTTAGCATTAAAACTGCAATAAAGAAAGTCGCATCGAAGATTTTCCAATAAGTTTACAATAAGAGACATAAAAAGGACTATCGTATAATTAACGCCAGGTTCTTGTAAGCGCACCTTTTTGAAAACACTTGAATTCTAAAGTAGCAAAGCGAAATAGAAAATGAAGGATTCGATTCATATTCAGACTGAAAAAAAAACTCAAAGTTCAAGTTGTAAGAAATGGTTGCCAGTTTTATTTACTTTCTACTAGTATAAGCTCCTTTTTAGACGTTAAAGGTTATTGTTTTAAATGCATAACTTCACCTTGTTTTTGAATTTATTAGCATCTTCTTTAACGTCGAAATAAATAGCGTCAGCATTCCAAAAGTCCGTGTCGAAATAATAGGCAATCAGTTTTCCGTAGGGCTTCATTATATCTGACACAGAGAACGTGATATGCAGCGTACTGGATCCATTATCGAACAGATAGCCGTTGTGAACCATACGATCGTTAGCGATAACCTGGAAAAAACAACCCATTTATATACATATACCTAGTTTTATACATAGTATTTATTTATCCTTATGCAGAAATGCTAAAAACACCACTCGTTATGATTCAGTTTTCAGTAAGCAAAACCATTAATTTCATTTATATAGGAAAATTTACCAGAAGTGTTACATGAGGGAGGTAACTAATGTCAGCAATTACTTATGAATACTTACAGCGTAAAATATTGGAATATGGCTGATACCATCTGACCGTTTCACGTTGAAATAAGCGTCCTGTCCTACCTGTATTTATATTTATTAAACATATCATAAAATGTTATCATATTTTAATATCGCCTTATGTCATAATTATATATCATCTATGTAAAAATCTTTATAACTAACGAATTATTGATGGACTGTTGTAATTGTATATGTACTATTGTGATGAGATTTTTATGCTTAAACCAAGAATTAAAATGTCTTTTCTGTTCTGTTCTGTTCTGTTCTGTATAAAAAATATCAGCCTTACAGACAAAGATATTGTTTTGCGAAATATTAAAATACAGACATAAGGGTAAAAAATTAAATGTTCTAGAATGCCCACTATGTTATCTATCTCTCTAAGAATACTAAACATCAAGATGCATTTTATAATCTACATGACACGATTTCGACCAATACGATTGTCATAAAAGATTTATTCTAGAATAACTATTGTCGTTTAACCTACTAAATTTATTTATCGATGTCATGGGAACATACTTTACATCGCTTCTGGCTAGAAGCTTCTTCGGCATTACGCAGCTTCTAAAGGTACTTATTTACACCTAGGTAAAGTTAGTCCAAGAAGGTATTTTTATTCAAAAAAAAAATAAAAAATAAATAAAATATGTACAGCGCCCTGGAAAAGTCTAGCAACCCGGAACCTTTTCAAGTATGCGTTTTGATTATTATTATTATTAATTTTCTTTAAAAAAAGCATGCTTACCACGATGTTGCTGGAGTTTTGGGACACTTGTATGTTTCCCTCATCTAGTAACCAGTATGGTTTGTTAACATTCAGGGTGTCGGATAGGCCTTGGTAAAATATCTGTAATATCAAAAGAGTTCTTCGTCATCCTTACAACAATGTAATTGCATCGTCTCTATATATATTTTTAAAACATATTTTCGGGTGCCATGTCCACACTGAGTTTTTTGTGAGAAGAAGGGACTGGAAATAATTGTTCGAGAGTTGTTTGCAATATAATGTAGGTCTTGGCTAATAACATATACATGTATGCAATTTTAGACCATTGATTTGTTTCGTTTTCCTACAAAAACCATTTCTACTGTGCAAATATTCCAAATGAAAAGCGTTGCTTGCAACTCTTTTCACTGAAACAGAGCTTAATGTATAAGACTTATAGGATGTTCTCTGAGAAACTTATATTTCTTTATCTATTGCAAAAAAAACATTAAGTGATCTTTAGATTTTTGTAAACAATTATATTTTCATGTTAAAATCAATGATTCTCCTTTAATGTAATGATCAGCAGTGTAAACGTTTTTACTTAAGAATAACTTACTTCTAAATGGAGAGAAGTTGCATTAACTGGTGGATCTACGAACACTTCAAGCGTACCAGTTGAAGGAGGAGAGTATTTCTGTTCTGTAAGGTACTGGGCTCGGTACCTGTGCGATGTTTCGTCATAGAATTTCACATAGCTCACAAGTCGAACATCTTCAGTGCTTGAAATGATTGGATTACCATTTGCTTGTGTCAGTGAAACCTGTAACATAAATCATGGACTATGGTTGTTGTTATTTAGTGTTTTTTGTTTGTTTGTTTTCTCGACAAGCCAAACACACAGAGTGTATATTAATGGTAATGTTAATATAGCCTGTAATACACCATGGATTTTTTTGGTCAACACCATAACAATATTTTGTCTTTAAACGGTTGTATCCGTCAATCTTTTTTTTGTTTGTTTGTTTGTTCTTAAAAGAAAGGTCAAGGCATAGACTTCTTCGTACATTTACATTTCATGTTTCGGGTTAAAGTCTTCAAAAAACAGTAATTTAAGGAGAATCAAAACCCAGAGGTTATGAGTTCGAGCCCTAATCGTGTAACGACCATGTTTCTTCATATGAAACCAGTATTGGTTGGGTTCAACAAGCGGACTTGAAAGTGATTAAGTTGCAAGAACTTATTTCGTAATCGAGCTTAAATAAATATAAAATTATTCAAACCAAATAACTTTGTCACAAAATTTAATAATATATGTTGTGAACAGTATGGCGCTGTTCTAAATGATAGAAACAAATATGGACTAGTCCGAAGATTTACAGGAAGGGAAATAAAAGCTAAAAAGTATCTTACGTGTCCGACATAGGGAAGCCCTGGTTTGAAGAATGACATGCTGGATGAGTGGTCAAAATTTATCTTGTACGGTTCCTGATAAAACACAACCTGTAAATAAACAAAACAAACAATTGTAAGTATATTTTATTTTGCTAGATTAATTTACTTTAGTTATAAAACAACATAAAACAAATTGTACTCTATTTTTATATGTATGAATTTGCTTGTGAAAACATTATGATTGGTTAAAAAAAAGGTGTTTCCATAATTAAATTAAATCTGCTGTACAACTGCACTATATATAAAAAAAATGTTTACTTCGTTCATCAATAGTAAACAATTTACGTTGATTTGTCTTCATCTACATTCTATACGGTGCCCCCACTGGGTGCCTATTGCCCTGTTGGCGGAATAATACATGGGCTGTCCGAGAGCATTACTCTCCCTTGCTTACCTTTTCTCTCGTATTACATTTTAAAATACTGCACTTTTGTTACGTCAATTTTCATTGGATAATCATGATGTTTATATATGTTTATATACACGGCTGCTGTCAATTTGTGAAGATTTTTTTTCTTTTTTTTTTTTCTGAAAAGATGATGTTTGCTGTATCATAAATTCGTTTCAAAAATTATGGACAGGTTATATGACTGTATAAAAACGATTGTTTGCAATATAACCATCACCTTGCAGCTCGGTTTTTTTCTTCTTCAAATTACCTTTTATAAAGGGTCATAAAACCTGTCAAAATTCTTTATAGCATATAATATATACAAACCTGTGATGAAGCATTTCTAGTTATATTGTTGATGCTCTCAGTTACTGAGGCTTTAATAAGAAGATGATAGCCTGCAAGTTTTTCTACAAGTGGCTGGAACGAATTCGGGTCAACCTCGTTTGTAATTCTGCTAAAAGGCACTGTAAATTTGGCTTCTCCATTGATCTGTAATTAAAACAATTATATAGTATTTTAAAGGTCCATTGTGCCCAAGAAAAGCTTTAATTTTTATTTATCAAAAGCTTTGTTTTCAAAAATGCTGAACTATATTTTGCATGCGTTTCCTTTTGGCAATTAGTACAGTTGTAGTAATTAAGTATTTTGTATGAAAGTCATGATACTATTTTGTTTACATTTTGCTACTTTTATGATCAATATTTGCAATTTATTCAGGTGAATGAACATCTTAAAAGCTCTTTGATAATTATATTTTAAGTTTACAAGACCCACTTTTTGACTTTCTAAATATCGAAATATGTATTCGTTTCTGAAACATTATGTGTCTTTTAACAGATTATTTATTAGTTCGGACGAGCTTTATTATGCAATTTATATTGCTCCAAAACAACGCTACTAATCAAATGTAAATGGGATTACATGGAATAGGGAATAAAAACTGGATTGATTCTGTTTTTCTATTTTAGTCATAAAGACGGATGCACAGTGCGAGTGTAAATGTAATTTTACGCAATTAGAGGTACTGATTCAATTCACTTGAAAAGCATTTTGATCAAAATTCATTTAAAAAATAGTAAGGCCTGAATAACAATGAGGGGTTAATTTACTTTTGAATAGTCGTATGAAGTTTTCAATGTTTTAAAGATCCTGTATGTTATGTGATTGATATTGTTAGTGTTTGTATACCACACTTGCAAAATATTAGAAACTAGGATTGAAGACGAGTATCATTTTATTCTTATATGCAGTGTTTACCATGAATTAAGAATTCGATTAATTAAACGTTATTTTTGTCATAGACACAGTATGTACAAATTCATAGAAATGCTTAAGTCAAACAATAAATCTGTTCTTAACAATCTTAGCAAATTAATTTATTTAGCCAATAAGAAAAGAAATGATTTATTGAATTCATATCCTAGACTTTAAGACTATAACTATATTCATTATATTCACTGTTAGACACTTTATTAGTGAAAAATTGCTGTTATTCAATATCTAATTCATGTTTATTAGAGCTTATTCTCCATATTGTATAAACTGAAACATTAATTAGTCTCTTTCATTTACCAACCGTGACAAAAAATTTTATATGTATTGAACTATAACGAGATACATGTAATATATGTATAAGTTAAATAAAATTTTCTTCTTCTTCTTTCTATATGTATATAATTATGCAAATAAAACAATTTTCAAACACCGAAGAATATGTAAAATGTGTACTGCAAATATTTATGCACATTATATTTAATCAATAAATTATATGCATTCATTTCTTAATGGCTAAGAATTTATAGAAAATAAATTTCTAATTACCTCCCTTTATTTACATGAAATTTTAAATTCGGTAACATCTTTATAAATAATGCTCATTGGAACTTAAATTATTAACAAATCTTAATTTGAGCATCATATCTTTGAAATAAAACCATGAAAAAATGTGTTACAGGATCTTTAATGTACATACGATGTGTGAAACATAGACAAATCGGTCAAATATGTAAACTTACATCAAAAGCAGCCTCAACCATGACTTCATCTCCATGATATTTCCATGGCGTATTGCTGTAGTCAATGTCAGCATATAACTTTACTGTGCCTATTACAGGCTTACCATATGTGTATCTGTGATTAAAACGGACATTTTTTTGCATAAATAAAAAGACACATAGGTAAAAAAAGTGGTACAAATAAGAATAAAATAATCATAAGCATCAGCGTAAAATACGTTAAGCATCAGCATAAAAAACGTACAAGTACAACAGTGCAGAATGTACGGAATACCGTTAGGGCTATCGTAGTTATACTTTATAATCCATAGAATGACAGTGCGATTGTGCGATGACAATAACACGATAGTGCGATTGCGACAATACAATAACGCGATGACAACAGTACAATAATGCGACAATGCAATAGCGACAATGCGTTACCTCGATGGAGACGGCATTGTCGCACTTTCGCATTGTCGTATTATCGTACTGTCGTCATCGCGTTATCGCACTGTCGCTATCACACTATGGCAATGTCGTCATCGCCCTGTCGCATCGGCGCCCGCTGGATTATAAAGTAAAACCACGATGGCACTAACAGTATTCCGTAAGAATGTCCTCTCTAATAAATACACAGATACAATTCTTCTTTCTTCAACTCTATATTTAAGATTTCAAAAGGTTTGATAAAAATGGCGGCACACGATATAAAAATGAATATGAACACTAGAACTCTTAAATGGAGGGCTGTTGTAAAACTTTTTTGTAAAAGACGTGCATAAAACAACCGATGTCTGCCAATATGTACACTAGAATTCTTTAATGCAGGGCCGTTGTATAACTTTTTAAAAGACGTGCATAAAACAACCGATGTCTGTCAAATACGAAAGACTTGTGATGACATATTAACTTCATTTTTTACTAATTTCATCTTCGAGAATTAACCTTTAACTTCGTGAATTCAGGTTTCCAACATACGAAAATTCACAAGTTCACGATTTCATCTTCATGAGCTTGAAATGTCCACACAGGTCTTTCGTAGTCAAAGGTTTATGTACTTACTTTGCTTTAACAGTGCCGTGCATTTCCTTGTCCCTGGTTACGACAAAGGGAGGTAACTCTACGCTCACTTCGAACTTCGGTAGCACTGAAGTTAGTGGGGGAAATGACAGTTATAACAGCCGAGTTTTTTTCACATATATCTATCAAACTCAAATACCAAAAATCATGAAGATCATAGAATGACATGTTGTCATAAATGTTTTTCGTGTGTTTTAAGTCAAAATATGTGCAGTACCAGAAATTCCAAAATTATTCAGAGCTGAAGTATCTAATTTTCATTTCTTTACAAAAAAATTCGCTCTTTTTAAAATGTATTACCATATTTGTCGACGGTGAAAAACTTTTCTTCAAGTGCACTCTGAAATAAAGTATATCCATTTTATAAATGAAATCTTGAATACTCCGAAATAGGAAGTTTAAAATTTTCAAATAACGTTACAGGCTTGTAAAGTTTTCTGTACCGAATTTGTTCGTCGAGACAAGAACTATACTTTATGTTTGTTTTATACCAAATTTTTTTTTCGTGATTGATATTACACCAAATGTTTGTATTATACCAAATCTATTTTTGTCGTGGTTGAAAGTACACCAAATGCTTGTTTTATGCCAAATCGGTTTTTGTCGAGACTGACTGTAACCAAATGTTTGTTTTATACCAAATCTTTTTTGTCGAGGCTGAACTTATACCAAAAGTTCGCTTTATACCAAATCGTTTTTGTCGAGGCTGAATTTATATCAAAAGTTTTTTTTATACCAAAGGTTTTTCTTTGTCCAAATGTTTGTTTTATACCAAATCCTTTTTGTCGAAGCTAACATTATGCCAAATATTTGTTTTATACCACAGTTTTTTTATGTGGCTGAATTATACCAAATGTGTGTTTTATACCCAACGTTCATTTGTTGAGGCTGAAATTCAACCAAATGTTTGTTTAAAACCAAATGTGTTTTTGTCGTTGCTGAACTTACACCAAATAGTTGTTTTATACCAAATGTTAATTCGTCGAGGCTAAAGTTATACCAAACGTTTGTTTTATACCAAATGTTTATTTGTCGAGGCTGAAATAATTAAATGATAAATAATGAAATTTATACCGCATGTTTGTTTGTCCAGACTGAAATTTTCCATTTTCCTAGAACTGGTTCTGTGTCCATGACGAGGAAGTCTTCAACAACTCCCCATTGTGATTCCGATACATTTGTCATCTTTTTCATCATGTTCCCTTTAGGATCCTTTATAAAAATAATAGAAATAGAAAAAATAAGACCTAGTTATAAATGTATGACTTATTTTGTTTTGTTTTATTTTTCTTCATTCGTGCTCGAGTGAATTCGTACTCGAGTGTTTTAATGCTGTTGTTGAGTCTTTTTTTACTTTGGTGTTTTCATCTTAATTCTTCTAGTTTACGTCTTCGTCGTCGTCGATGGACAACCTCCTATTATCCTCGGTATTTACATTTGCTAATTTAATTACATCCTTTATGGATTTTGAACAGAACAAGTAATTCACGACAGATTTTTTTTTCAATCTAATTAATTTACCTTTTTTTCTAACGGTTTTATATATCCAGGAAGGGTTTTTGCTCTAAAAGACGTACAAGTATTACAGGTATTTAGTAAAATTATTAAACTACCTGTAAAACCATCTGTCCACAGGAAATACCGAACCTCGGAAAACGATGAAATCGTTAGAAAATTTTAAAAATTACCAATTAAAAAATTAATCGAGGGAAAATTTTTTTATATACAATTCAAGTATGGCTTTTTTTAGAAAAAGTGTAAAAGTCAAATGGAAAGGGAACGGGACAAGAATTATGTCAGTTTGATTTTAAGTGATTACACACAGTTTGCAAAATAGCCTTAACTTTATGTACAGTTGTTTGCAAAAAAAAATGAGCACACTAGTATGGAAAATCGATATTTTTGTCTATTTTTTCACGTCTGTTTATCGATTCCATTACATTCTTATGCTGATAATGTACTGTTTATATGATATTTATTCAAATATTCAGATTCAACAATGCATTTTCAGTGTTTATTACTGTTCTTTTCCAACGGGCAAATACAGAGATTTAATTTCCCATTTGATTGAAAATCACAATATGGATGAAATAAAGTGTGTGCAGGGTCGGAAGCAGGGTCGGGAGCAGGGTAGAACCATCAAAATTGACGATAAAAATATTTAAATGCATGTCTCAAGAGAGACCCATCTCTGAAAAGAAGGAGAAGAAAAAAACATATTTAGATGACATTAATAATAGGTTTTTACAGAAGAAACTTATCGAACACACTTAGTAAAATATTGGCCCGAGGGCTTATGCCGTCCAAGGCATGCCGATAATTTCGTCTTAACCTTTTACTGCATGAGCAGGGTTATTGCGAAAAAAAACCTGGTTTTCATTGATTAAAGCCTCTTTTACAAGTTCAAAACTGCTATGAAACTAAAAAAAAATGCTTCAATACTGCAATCAAAACTGGCACAAATATTGGCATGGACCGATTAGCCTGTGGAACAAACCTTCACTCAATTTTAAAATTTCCAGTTACAATGAACAACGGGGAGGGACGTCTCAAATATTGCCAAAAATCTCTTTTTTTTGCGTTGGTTTTTTCCCCATCAAAACTGATTTCAAGGCTGCAGCATACTTTCTCATATTGATGCAAATTAAAGTTTTCTAAGATTTTCGGCGTGATTACACGGTACGTTTAAATCGTACCTGAGGCCATTTTTAGCCCCCCCACAAGTCCCAAATCTTCTCGGCGATAAGAGGGGCTACTGTCCCACTTCAAACCCCCAAACAGAAGGGGCACCCCCCTGTGGCACCCCCTTGATGTACCTTTTTAATGGGGGGGGGGGGGGTGGCGCCGAAAAAGTGATCACTCTTTTTAACAACATTTCTCAAACTCAAAATTTCTAAATAGCGCATGTTTTACACTATTTGAGGCCTCAAAAGGGGTGGGGTGTAAAGCCTTCAAATATGATAAACAAGAAAAGGAAAGGAAAGGCGGCGTTCAATGAACGCAACCCCCCTACGACCCAGCAACACGAACCAGTGGCAAGGAGTCCAGGCGGACCCCAAACAAAAACAGGACAGCACAAGACAGCCCTAAAACACGCCTTTATGAGGTAAAAGGTAATAAGGAACATAACCTTCTTATTGCATCTGCTGCCCTTTATCATAATCTTATCAAAATCCATTATTCGATTTTTTGAGCTGTACCCGCTCGGCAGTCATACGGTAACTCATTGCTAATGACGTAAAACATTTCATGTGCAGACGGTCTGCCGTTGCTAGAGTGCAGGTACAAAATGACCGAAAGTTACCTTTATATGGATTTTTGGCATAGTAGGAAGTCGGTTGATAATAGATATTGGCACACTTGCTCAATACCATCTAATATTGACAATCTTGAGGCAGCATTAATGCACTTTGGATGCTTTTTTTACTATTTAAAGTAAGATATGCAATATTCATTAACAAATTCTGGAAAGGTTGATCCTTCGATAGCAACGAGAACTTTGTAAACACAGAAAATTGCTGAGTTCGTTCGACTGAGATTTTTCATGAGCAGGAATGAAAATCTGGATTATTTGCAGATGTTTCCAGTAAAGTACCTCCGAACTCTGCATATTCTGCACTTATAGTGTAAATAAGTATACACAATAAGAAATATTTAAAATTAAATGTGGTAAATACTTTGTGTTTACTACTTGCATTTACTCTTTATTGATAACCAATACTCATTACACTAAAAAGCAATACTCGTGACACCATCGGGCAACTCCAACGCAATACTCGGTACACTGACATGTGTATTTATTCTCAAAATGCACTGTCATCTGGGGTTCTATTGTTGATTGAACATTTACATCATAAACATTATCATCATTATCACATTTCACTCGATTCAAGTTTTTCTTTTAAAGAAGTAAATGCACAAAAACATCAAATTTGACTGATCCGAGCTCATTTATCACGTGAGCAAACAGACGGATTTTACCTCCTAATTACATTTCAAAGCTATTTCTCAACATTTTTTGGGTTTCAGCAACTAGAGAAATTATCGAAGTATTTGTTTTTCTATAAAATTTATATCAAACAAATTCCAAATGACTAAATATCGTCACTGAACTTACCTCCTTTCTCGTTCAAAGTCGCGAAATGGGATGAAAGTCCTCATAATATCGAGCAATATCCGGGGTACGGTATACCGCAGTGATTATCGTTATTTACATTATAAGTATTAATAATTTCATGATTAATTATCATCATCATCATCATATAATTGTCGACATATTTATTTATTTCATTTTTTTTATCTATTAATTTACCCTTTTTCTCTCTACACATCTTGAGTATCACCAGGAAGTTTTGTCTAAATTTTTAAACTGTCTACATAGAATACTTACGCTTATAGTAATATTAAAATCACCACTGTATACCATCATGTCCGAGGATATCCCGAACGTTCGGAAACGAACTGAAAACAAAGAAGAATGATTTCAAATATTGTCGATGAACAATGTATTACTTATCCATGGCTAAAAATTGTCTTTATAATATATCAATTGAATTAATTGGATCGATTTTTTAAAAAAAAGCTAAAGATGCCTCAAATGGAAATTGGGGAACGGGACAAGAACTTATTTTCAGTTTGTTTTCATTCTTTTTCTCTAAAGTGATTATTCCACCACACTGTTGCAAATCATTTGCTTTCTTAATTACCAAAAACTATGAAGTTGTTTGTTTAAAATTTAAATAACAATACACAAACAAGTCATATTAAACATTCCCTAAATAAATAGTTAATTATATTCAAACTGTTTCTGAAACGGGCCGTTTTCTTATGTTGTTATCGTGTATAGTCAAATCTATATGCATATGCTTTTCTTTTCAAATGGTATATATTTATATTGTTTGTATGGATTGACATATATGATAGATTATTGCTTTTATTTTCATATCTCCAAACTTTATACGTCGTTGTACTTTTATAGTGTATAAAAATTTACTCTTTTGCAAATTACCGTAACCATCTTTTTTAACTGTTGCTGTTTTGGCAATAAGAACAGTTATAGTGAGTTAATATTTAAATAGAGGTCAAAATACTATTTTGTTTACATTTAACTACTTAAATGACATAATTTTTTACTTTTATCGCTTCTTTTTTCAGGTAACAAGCATCTAACATTTCCCTAAAACCATTATTTAACCGTTACAAAATTCATATTTACCCTTTCTATAGAAGTAAAATTAAGGCCTAATGTATCTTTAAACTAAACTATATTTTTGTTATCTTAATAACTGATTCCCAACTAAAGATTTGATTCTTATGTATTGTTTATAGAAAATAAATCTGTCGTTCAAAACGTTCACTTACCCGTCTGCCCAGGTTTATAAATGCCTTTGTCCGTCTGTATGTGAATTGCAAATTTTTCAGGCATAGATCCGGAATCATAGTGGATAAGCCCGTGCTCTTGAAAATACACCCCACTTAACCCGTTGATGAGCACGGTGTATGTATACGGATCATCACCAGTGCTTGGTACCTTCGTAGGAAAAATAATTTAGTAGTCATTGATTCATAATTTAGCCGCGTCATGACAAAACCAACATAATGGGTTTGCGACCAGCATGGATCCAGACCAGCCTGTGCATCCGTGCCTTCTGATCAGGATTCGTGCTGTTCGCTTACAAGTAGTTCTATTACAAGAAGAGAAAATGATAGCGAACAACACGGATCTTGATCAGAATGCGCTGATCACAGGCTGGTCTGGATCCGCAAACACATTACGTTGGTTTTGTCATGACGCGGCTCATGCTTTATACTTTACTTCTTTTGATAAGACCTTCCTATTATACGTTCTTCAAATGATTATGCTATCCGCTAAATGAGGTGACCATTGCTTATCTTACGCCAATTTCGAAATTTACAGTTAAATTAGGTACATTTTAGAAAGAAGTTTTTTCTGTTGTGTGTTTTTTTTTGTTTCTTCTTCTTTTCTTCTTTTTTAAATACAATTTGAAGATTTTTTAACATTGGTTAGGAGGAAACGAACCGTACCTGTAGTTGAATTATTTCAGATTTTGCTGAAACGAAAATAAATGAATTGTACAACTCTATCACTATATAATTAATTTGTAATTGTCAAGTCTTTGTTATTCAGACAGTTGCTGCGTTTATACACGAGATTAAATCGCAAAAACTTTACCAAATGAAAATCAGTCACGTTTGAATTGCAGCATATTGCACAAAGATAACATTTCAAAGTATGACTTTTTTTCGTCGTCAATGAAAATGTAAAACGGTAAATAACATTTTTTTTTAATAAAATAATTAATATAGACCCGTGACAGCCCGTTTGAATAATTTGTTATATCACCAGTACTTCTTTTGTTAATAATTTCTCATTTAAACAAAGGGAGATAACAAAGGTAAAGAATAACTTTCCGCTTACCTCCCTGGAATGTATGCCTAACTGTTGCCACGCGATGGTGATCGTCACGTATGAGATCCACTTGAACCAAAATATCAACACCGGAAGTGTTATAGAAATTAAAAGTTAGCGGAAGAGATGCCCCAGGGGTATACTTATCTGGAAACACTATCCAGTGAGTCCTGTATAGAATGAAATAAAATGAATATAGTTCATTAAGATCAAAATGATCAATTATTCATTTCAACAGAAATATATTTATTTCTTCTATTTGAGTTCTAAGTCAGTCCTACAGATTATGTACAAGAAATAATTACGTGATTTGATTGGATTTTATGCGATCAACCGTTTGGCTTTTTTAAAGCTGTCTTAGATAAATAATTTAGCATCCCAAAATGCACTGCATGGTACAGCTTTACGACGTCTATTTTGTGTCAAAAAAGGTAACTTAACATTGTACTCTAACCAGTAAAAAGTTAATAATAATTATTCTCTGACGTATTAACTGTTGACATTACAATCAGCCGCATAATTATCATTCATATTTCAAAAATGTAATCTTATACATACCCAGTAACTTTTGTCGTTGCCATGGTAACATGGGCGGCCGCTAGGAGGCCAAATAATACTAGCATTATTGTACTCCTTTTTGTTTTATTTGTACACGATATATGTCTGCAAACTGTACGAAATGCGAGTACAAATTACTATACAATGATAAAAGTTACATATTATTATTAATCGGTTTATATGTTATTTATCACTGATATGAAATTAAGCAGTACTTTTTTTTCATTTTAATGTTGTGTTTTTTTGTATGTCGAAAGGTAACGAGGAGGAAAAGAAGGTACCACCTTCAAATATGTTTTTTTTAAGTTCAAGCCAATAAATCATAAGATATTGAAGTGTAAATTTGACGACATGACATTCGGCACGTTGTCTCTCTCAACAGATAGAACATACGATTAGACATCAAATGGTTTATCTTCAAATTCTGAATTATAAACATTTTAAAAATTTGTGTTCTTATATTTGACATGTCAAGGTGAAACTCCCATTGTATAACTTTTTTTGTCTTCTTTTCAATAAGAATAAAATTTGTTCGGGTGTGGTCGATGGGGGTTGATGTTGACATCATCAGGAAGAACGATGGTTCTCAAAGGAAGGACAAAGCTAAATGCATGATTATATGTTGAATGTTTTTCCAAACTTTTATATCTGTTTTTTATATTAAAATAGAATCATGATTCTATGTAACTCAGGCGTTTTTGTTTTTATTCATTATCACCTTACTTCCATAGACTTTAAACTGGTTAATTTAATGACATTAAAACAATTTAGATAACTTATAAAAACAAACAAATGTTGAAATCAATATCAAAGACTCTACTTACATTAGAACTATCCTTAGCTTATTTTTACTATGTTTCAATGCGCATTTGGCACTATAATCCCTCCTTTAAATACTTTTCAAAACGTCAGTACTGTGTTGACATTAAACTGAATTATTTCAAAATATCGGAAAGGTCACTTACATCCGTTTAACTATTGTCGGATTCCTTATCTATAAACATTTTTGGCCTACCTTTAATAAGGCTTGTTTCAGGACACGACATATCTTATCATTGTAACACAAGGATATAGCTATCTGTCTTTTACACTTACTACTGATGAACCTCCGTATTAAGTATGTCTACGTGGGTTAAAGTAGCATTTAAATCTGAAACCACCCCTTGCCATCCCTAGGGAATTAAGTGTTATATCATTAAGTCAGCATGTACAGATTCATATTGGAACACCTTAGTGGCTTTCTTAATAATGACGTGGCCTTGCACTAGTTCTGTGACACAACGGATGTTCTATCGTTCATACAGCTAATTAAGGGCGGTATTTGATTTATTGCGGAACTTCATTGTTATAATACTAGTATTAGTAGTAGGAGCTAGAGGCGTGACCTTGCTAGAGGGCATGATATATTGTGCATCTTTCAGACTCACGTTTTTACTCTGAGGCATCATTCCTCTCAAAAGACTTCAACACTTTCAAGAAAGTTTCAAAAAACCCCTCGTGCATTCAAAAATCATCGTCAGCATATAAGGTTACTGATTATGAACTGCATATTAAATTGTATACGTAAAGAGAAGTTGAACGCCTGGTTTACCAGGCGATATTAACAATGCAAGAAGAGAAGTATCTAGTAGCAAAGCTGGAAAGTCAAAATATAATCGTCAAAAGTTTCTGTTTCATTTAAAGCCTAACCAAATAAATAACCATCTTGTTATCTGATCAGCATAAAACAAATGGTTTAGCCAATTGAATTTATCAATGATAGGGATTACAAAAAGCATGATACTTTCAGACTGGTATGACTTGTTCATATATATATTTTTTAATAAAAAACTAAATTGTATTATGGAAATGAACTCCGAAATATTACCTTACTTGTAAAGGGAGAAAACTATTACTGGCATGAACATTATGATATTTCCGGTGTTGTCTCCCTTCTAATAAAAAAGTGCATTAATGAAATTACAAGATGTATGCAACCACAAAACAAACAAACATACACGCACGTACGCACTCTTTAAACTTGTATAAACACATTGTTCATGCGTCGTTCAAATTAAAGCTGTACAGATAAGCCAATGAATGCGGTTCATTTTTTGGAAATAAAAACAAAATTCAAAACTATTTTACACACCAATCCTGTAAAACAGACACATTTTTCTATGACGTTTATCGGTAACCTATTTTCTAGTGACCAAACCCATGAGCTAGATAATTATCAAATCTTGTCTGTGCTTAACTTTACAAGCATCAACAAAACCGACGCAATCCCAGCATAGAAAATAGAACAAAATTGTAAAAGAAAAATAATATTTAAGGTAAGATGGTTGTTTTGTAAATACAACTTTCTCTTAAATATCGATATTTTATAATAAACAATGGCATAAATTTGACTATATTTATGAACAACGACAATATATTTAACTACAAAAGCGAACGATGTCATATAATTGACTATAATTAGATGTGATATAATAGACTATAATAAGATGTCATATAATTGACAATAGTTATGGGCAGTGTCATATACTGTATTAGTGGATATTTATGTTTAACAAAAAAATTGCGTATGTTAAAAAGTGGACATTTTGCGGGCAAATATGATTTCTTAAATTTTATACTGTATATGATATCATTGTTTGTTTGATAAGACTTGATCACACAATTTTTGTCATATTCTAAAACATTATTTTGTTATATGAATAACCTACTGTGTTATTAACATATATTTTGTTTCATTAAAACACTTGTGATTTTTTAAGACCAAACATAAACAACAAGCAATGAGGAAAATTAATTTCAGTACCTGAACAGTCAAACTTATTTATGTAAGATGATGTAAAAATCATGTTTTCAAATTATAGAAGAAAGTTTGCGAAAAAAGAAATAATTTTTGCGCCATCATATATTTGCAAAAGATTTCGAATCGCGAAAAATCGCAAATATTTCCACGTCGCAAATTAACCACTTATACAGTAATTCATAACATGTAATTGACTATAATAATGAACCATGTCATAAAATTGATTATCATAATGAAAAATGTCATATAATTGACTATTATAATAATTGATGTCATATAATGTCAATTTATATTGTCATCTAATAATGAATTATGACGAATACTCGACTTAATTCAACAATAAATTAATGTAAGTGAATTTAATTTTTAATTTTTTTTTTGGCATTATATCTGGTACAATGCTAGAAAAAAACAGAATATCATTGCTCATAAAATAATGACATAACAATTTAAAACAAAAAAATAGTCTTTAAAAAGTCATGTGTTTGAGTGTTTTAGAGTTGTTTTTGCTTCACATAAACCTAATCTCTTATAATAATGTAAGTTTGTTTTGTCGGATTTCATTGCAAAATCTTAATGTTTATATGTATATAACAATAATATTAACAAAATAATCTTAATTTTTTCCAGTTAATTTTCTGTTATCTTCCTTTGATGAATAAGTCGCACAAATGAAGCGTTGAGACTGTTCAATTTATGTCATTATACTGGTATTTCTTTGGCAAACACTTGCTGAAGGTAAATCTAAATCCAAGCTGCAATATGAAAAAAGAAAATCAAATTCTATTAACAAATCTAAACCACTGAATCCTAATACATAAGACGTAGATGTTTCATAGTTTTCATTCACCGGTTAATTCATAGTGATTTTTCTGAGATATATGCTTTACAGAATCAAAGTTCTCCTGCATTCTGATATGTTTTTGATATTGTTGTTTGCATGAAATTAACAATGCTTTGTACATAAAACGGCATCTCACCGAGGCAATTAATTACATTTAATAACTATACGGGTCTTAGATGCGAGATTTTTATCTAGTTAGAGAAGAGGTCCGGGTTATACAATTTGATTGGAAATTTAGGATTATCACAAATACGCTAAATGCCGACCATTCTCCACCTAGGTTTCGAATGGAGAAGTTGTCATATAATTGTCGGGTAGAGTATTGCTTTATTGAGATACAGGCAAGTATTCGGAAGGTATCAGTTCGAATCCAGGTAAAGCTTCAAATGTGTGCCACAATGTGTAAAGCCGAGCAATATCGTTAAGGGCAAACACTGCAAAAGTCATGGTGTAGTGAAAATGTAAGACTTACAGTTATTAGACCAAATAAACCTTTCCACCTGTCTTTGTTCGGAACGAGATCGGTTCCAGTCGCTTTGTACTTTACTTTTTGGAATACAGTACCAACAGCAAAATACATTAACGCAATACATAAGCATCTGAAAGCATAATTGAAAAAAAAAGAATGCTAAAGTACAGTTATGAATAAAAATAATAATACGTACACAGCGTTACTTTAAAGAAGCTCAACTAATATCCAAAGGCCTAAATTATAAAATCTTAAATTGTTATACATGTATGTATCAACTAAGACGCTTATTACGAAAACATACAAAAAGACAATAAAGGAATTTACTGAGCATTAAATGGAAAAAAAATGATTTTATGCGATTTTTTTGCCCGATTTGAAATAAAGCATTAAAGCCTGGAGGTCACGATTAAAATGGTTAATCTGGTTTGAAAATATTATTGGTCCAGACCTGAAACAAATGATATAATATTTTTTGTAAAATACATGTATAATGACAGCCCCGTCATGTCAAAAACCTCAACAGAGGTCCTTTAAAATCGGGAGTAAAAATGCATATCTATATTTCTGTTTTATTTTAGTTATGCTGATTGGTAATTAACCAGTTCATATTGTAATATTAAATTACTAATTTGCATAAATACCGGATGCATTTGTTATACATTTGAAACATACCGTATGCATATATTTTTCTTTTGGATATTTTGCAAATATTCTGTGGGAAAAAAAATAGTAAGAAAATAAAAAAGCATACTCCCGGAATCAAACCGTTTAGACAAAAAGCCTTTTAAACGAGCGTTTCACAAATGATCCAAAGAATTGAATTAAAAAGTAAATGTGTTTATAAGAGCATAGGGTCTTGTCAAGACAAATGATCCAGATCAAAATACACGACTTTAATTCTTTTTTATCTTTTTTTTATTATTTCATCTTTTTTTTTTTAATTGACTCACAGAAGAAAATTCTCAAATGCATTGTAAGCTTTCTGTTAATAAAACGAGTGGGACAGTCTTCTAATATTCTGGGCAGTTGTTATATATTATCCTAAGACTTTTTTTATTATCAAGCATTGGTCCAGTTCAGCTTAACCCGACAACGAAGTAGATGAGCATAATGTCACTGATCGAAAATAACTTACACAATTATAAATACATAGCCGAAACCTAAACCACTTCCGGTGCCGGACTTTGGAACACAGTTGATCGGTCCCTTCTCGTTGCATAGTCCAGGACACGCGCAAACATGAGTGAGCTGGAAATTCTTCAAAACAAAAACAAAAAGCAATTATATTTTTTTGACTTTTATTGTTATTTTTGTTGTTTCGTTATTTCAATAGCCATAATTATTATCATTACACAAATAAATTAGATTGTTATATAATTCACACTTCATTCGAGTAACATGTAGAAGTACGATACATATCTGTTATTCATTTTTCAGTTTGATTGATTTTCAAAAAAAAAATAAGCATCAAATGTCAGAATATACTATTAAAACTAACAAAAATGATATACTTTTAACCTTTGGCATATAAAGCAGAAATGAATACATCTAAAACATTTCATAAAATAATAGAAAATGAGAAAACTTACGAAAAGGCCTACAGTTGATTGTCCTTGAGGTAAAAATACAGGATCACACGCGGCCGGATCACAGACCAACTCAACTTCAGATACCCTGTAAGATATATGTTCAATTAATTTTAAACCTTAAATTGTAACAAACGAAACTAACATATATAAAGATAGGCAACTGACAAATTTATAAAAGATAAAACTAACAATACAACAATACAGAACTGACAATATATGTATTGAAACAAAGCTGACAACATATGTAGATATTTGATATACATAATAACATATATGCATAGCTGACACATAAAACATAAATATATAGAAAGCTGATACACAGATGACATATACAGACAGCTAACAAATATAACGTAAATCGATAACTAATATATACTGAAAGAAAAAAGTTTAGCAAGTTCGTATAAAATATAATATTTTGATATGTTTATATTTCATTGAACAAAAACTCAATGACATACATCTTCAAGCTTTTAATTCCATTTGTAAATCGAAAACAGATATTGAATTCTCTGGATTCTGTCGAGGTCCACGGAGTCTGGCAGCGTGAAGTCTATTGCGCACTGTCCTGTCACAAATTCTAGTACCGGTAGAATTTCTGAGGTGATGAGCCAACCTGCGACTAGCATAGGAACTCGAGAACGGGACCGCAGATTGCGGCGTATATTTTCGATCTTGTAACGGTTTTTAAATACGTTTCTGCTACATCTAAATATCTTTTAGTATTATCCGAGTGTATGGACTCAAAAAATATATTATCAATTGAACCCAATCTGTCTCTTTTAAAATTGGTCAAATTTTACGGTATTATAAAAAAAGACAAGGAGTGACATCCGCCATTTGCCGCAACGTTTTCGGCATGAGTTTTTCCCCTTTGGCTACAATTGATTACTATTTTTTCAGAATTTTGTTCCCGTTATTTTTGTCAACTATCAGGTATCGTCCGGATATAACGTTAACGGTTTATTGTTTGTACACGTGTTGACATGTATAGGCGGCATTATAACGGGCGTATTCGTGTATTGATTTGTTAAAATGGAGAAAACAGACACTTTAGTAATATGGTCCAACTGATTTTGTCTAACTGAAAAAAGGAATATTTAAACATGATCCATAGATAAATATTTTAGGCACTCATCTCGTATTCATTACTAGAAAAATTAAAACAAAAATCAAGCATATCAAGGGGGGTAACTTACGCCGAACGTTGCGGCAAATGGCGGATGTCACTCCTTTTCTTTTTTCAATATACCGTATATTTGACTGATTTTTAAATTAGCAGATTATATTTAATTGAGATTAGATAATTAAAGACCACCCGCTCGCATAATATGAAAAGATATTCAAAGGTCGGACAAACAATATGTAAAGCCGGTACGGATTCGGATTTATGCGCCGCAATATGCGGTCCTGTTCCAGAGTTCCTATGGCGACTAGACATTCATCGATTTCGCCGTGACGTCACAACAATATAACGGTCTTCTGCAAACGTTGATTTTCGTGGTCTACCAGAACGTAGCATATCTTTTACATCCCCTGTGAGATGATATCTAGTTTTGAGACGACTATTAGTCGATTCGCTTACGTGAAATTGTCGTGCAACTTCCCGCGCGGTCATTCCAGCATTTAGCATGCCAATAGCCATATGACGTCCCATTGAATAATTTCCAAAATTAAATGTGGTTAATTTGTTTATGGTATAAGACTGACAAGGCTATATTACGTTTGGATTTTATACATGACAGATTTCGTGCTGCACGTGCTCTCCATGGTTTACCAGTTACTACACGTTTTGACGTATCATCACCATAGATGCGTAAAACTGTACAGGGAATCTATGGTATAGGTCAAGCTAGACATTATAACCGCATAAAACATGTATACATACATTGTCCCTAAATCTATATGTACCCCTACAGAACTTGCTAAACTTATTTCTTTCAGTATACATAAAACAAATAACATCGATAGCTGACAGACATATCATATACATATTGCTGACACATATAACATATATAGATAGCTGACACATATCAAAAAATAAAAAGCTGACACATAAAGCATATATATAGATTTCTTGCATGGCAGCCAGTGTAACATATTTATAAGATTCAACATAAAACATATCAAGATAGCTGACATATGTAATATATGTTATCGATATCTGACACATACAACGTATATAGATTACTTACACATATAACACTTATAAAAACTTACACATATAACATATCAATAGTTAACATATGTAACAATTATAGTCAGCTTTCATATATACCGTGTATAGAAAGCTGTAATAAATAACATAGATAGATAGCTTACACAAATATTTATAGATAACTTACACATATAACATATATAGATAGCTTACACATATAAAACTGTTAGATATAAATTGCTGACATTTATAACATATATGAATAATTTACAAAGATAGCATACCTAGATTGTTTACATACATAACGTATATAGATAGCCTATACATATAAACACTATAACATATATAATAAGCCAACACATGTAGCATGTTCAGATATTTGGCACCTATAACATAGATGTATATTTGTCACATATCATATAACAATTCAAAATAACAAACACATATCATAGTTTAGACAGATGTCTCACATAATATGTGGATAAATGACACATCTAAAATGTATAGAAAGTTGACAGAGTTACTTACATTATAAGGCTACCTCTGACCACATATGCGGCCGTTACACTCTCGGTTCCAGGATCGTACTTGAACAATGTTCTCCCGGGCTCCCCAATCACTGTTTGATAACCCTCTTCTTGCATGCACATCTTAAAATACACATGAATAAATGATGAATAAATGATAACATGCAGCGTTTAAAAAAACTAACCGGTGCAAGACCTGAAAAACTCAGCTAGCAAATTTCTTTGGAAAGTGTCTGTAAGATACTCTTTTTTTTTCAGAAATTCTAATAGGATTGGATTTTTTTTTCAATATAAATAAATTTGTGTGGGTTGATTAAAGGGGACGACTTTTGGGAAGCGTTCAAGCTCCGTGAAATCTCGCGAGGATTACATTAAAGGGACTCAACTGAGGTAGGATAGTATATAATAAGTGAGTGTTTTATGCAAATCATGATAAATATAAGATAAACAAAAATTTAAACCATCATTAACCCATTACTTCATGAGCATTTTGTGAAAAATGGCTGTTTTCATTGAAAAGTCTCCCGTTACAAGTTCAAATTGCTATAATACTATAAAAACTGCTTCAACACTAATCAAACTTGGCACAAATGTTGACTGGACCATTGCCCTTGAAACAACATGCTCAGGCTTAAATTTTCTGTTACCATGGCAACGAGGGGACATCTCAAAATTGCCAAAAAATCACTAGTTTGCGTTGATTTTTTCCATCAAAATTGATTTCAAAGTGCTGCAACTTCTCAATGGATTGAGATAGAGTCAAATGCTTTTTAGCGTTGGTTACACATTACCTTATGATCAATCTGGGGTCATTTACAGCCTCTCACAAGTCCAAAATTTTCTTGGCGATGAGGGGGACTCCGCCCCCCTTCAAACCCCCCAAACAGAAGGGGGCACATCCCCCTTCTGGCAACCCCCTGATGTATCTTTTGGTTGGGGGGCCGCGCCGAAAAAGAGGTCACTTTTTTAACAACATTTCTCAAACAAAAACAAGTGTTTGGGCCCTAAATAAGGCATTTTTTCATCATTTGAGACAACAAAAAGGGGGGGGTGAAAAAGGCGTTAAAAGGCGTGTATATGAAGTAATGGGTTAATATATATTGTATATAATGTAACATACATCATTAATTAGGATAAAATTGTGACGTTAAAAACCCTTACAGCGGCATTAACACATTTTCCTTCTGTAAAGGCATTGCACGCGCTGAATGAGTAAACATTACTATCTTGTCCTTGAACATCTTTGAATCTGAAATGATACTCAAAAAGTTCAAAAATGTCAAAGTACTCTTAGTCAGTGAAGAAGCATATTAAGCGTTTACATAATATTGACTGAAGTACTCCAAGTAGATCGAAATGAATGTACTGATAAATTAGAAATAGCCCTCTTGAATAAGATGATGTGGGTTTTTTCTTGTATATATATCAGCTAGTTTTAACTCTTTATCTATATAAATACTGAAGTGTAAGTGATGTTAATTCTTAATTAAAAAGCATGGCCTTATGCTTTACATAATCAAGGCTTTTCCATTCTATAGCAGTATCATATAAAGGCATCTGCCCATCTTGAATATTCTTTTAAAATCATAGTTTAGTTTTCCCCTAGAAATCAGGTAAAAATAAGTGTGTTTTTTTTCTTCCACTTTATCAAAAATCACATGTAATGTTTCACAAAATTTAATTAAATCTGTAATGTTGTGAAAAATGTGTGGACACTTCAAATATTTGATTTCAATAATTCAAATATTTACCTTGGTGTATTATCGGATGTCCCAAGACTTGTCAGATCAATAATTCCACTATCGTCAGAAAACTTGCACGAACACCCCTGTAAATCGTTCGGCAAACACTCTTTAGGTCCTTCTGAATCAACACGAGAAACTCGTGCAAAAAGTATAAATAAACAAAGACACCACAGCATACTTGATAAGGAACAATAAAGTTCTTTAAAATTCTACATGTTAAAAGAATTGTTTAAATCTGATTTTTGCACAGGGTAAAATTTTACCAATATAAACAATTGCAGTTAATATAAATACAAGATTAGATTATTACGTCGATGATGGTTTTATCAGATTATCTATTTTTAGTTCGATATTGTAAGGTTAAATATAAGGTTAACATCACTGAAACCGAGGTCAATATTTATATGGATGTAATTGTTTATCTGTAAGATAGTAACTGATATGATTTTAAGCTTGACATTAATGTATAGTATAAGTTATAAACATTTGACAGTATATGGCGAGTTAAAGAAATGAATGTTTGCTATTATTAGGCTTTTAAACATAAGTGTTTCATAATACTGAAAGTTTTTAATGCTGCTTTTTTTTGTTGGTATTTAAATTGATTATAGTTTTTGATATATACTGCATGTAAACGCGTTGGTTCATATAACCGTGCCGCGTTTTATTTTTACAACATTATATAATTATGGCTCTTTCAATTTATGATAAAATCTCACTTTTTTCATAAATAGAAGTTTCTGTATTATAAATTCGTTATATTATTCCTAACAGGTTATATGACCGCATTTAAACGGGTTTTTTTTTGCAATATAACCCGAGCCGTTTATATAGAGCCATATAACCTGTCAAAAATCTTTATAACTAATAATATACATGAAAAAATTATATACGAAGAAATCTAATTTTTGCCTTTGAAAAGAAAGTGTGCAGCATCATAGATTTGTTATATAACTTCTTGACGGGTTATATGGCCATTTATAAACGATTGTTTGCAATATAACCCTCGCATGTTGTCTCGGGTTATATATTATATAAAACACCATTTATAAAGGCCATAAAACTTGTCAAAAACTTAATAATAATAATTAAACATGAAGCAACTGAGTGTTTTTTAAAATTAAATATAATTTCTTTTAAAACCCTTATATTAATTTTAATATAAATGGCTGATATTCTTAAAATTATAGTGCTGATTTTACAACACTTTGTCGCGTCAAATGGAAAGAATTGGCTTAATCGCCTGGTATGACTTGCGACCCAACGGTAAGCATTCGACAAGGCATGATTGATGCCTAGCTCAAAAACCAAGCGCAGAAGCAACATGAAAAATAACGCTGACTAATGTAACACGTGCGTTTGCAATGCCGATTGACAAAAGGCGATTACGATATTGTTTTGTATTGTCTAGCGACAACGGACGCACAAAAGTCACAAATCAGCCACCATAAAAAAATCGACATCCAAAGCTATAATGTATCGCGACGCGTCAAAATTGTGGCAAACAATCTAACTTCTAATTATCGGCATTGTTATTCCTAATGATTGTGTTTTTACCTTTTTTCTTAAAGACCTATTATGCCCCAAAAATGAGTTAACTCTTATTTTTTCAAAAGCTTTTTAGATTTGCTGTATTTTTATAGTTTCCAAAATGCTACATGTTTGCCAATAACCTGAACAATCTTTTTCTTCTGTTGCATATTGGCAATTATACAGTCATAGTGATTTTGTATTTTATATGGAAGTCAATAAACTTCTTTGTTTACATTGATACTTTTATGACATATTTTCAAATTAATCGCTACTCTCTTCAGATAATTAACATCCAACATGCACTAAACATAACACGCATGTTATAAAACTCGAGTTTTCCCTTTCCAAATAACTAAAATTCTATCTGTTTCTGATGCATAATGTGCCTTAAAAGTACACGACTTTTCAATCGATGACAATTTTCTTATGGAATCTAAAATCCTGCACTTACGAGCGCCTTTTATCATTGTTCACAAATATCGTGATGTGGGGGACATTCCTGTTGTCAGAAAGACAAAAAGTTATTTTTCACAATTTCATTTTTTCATTTTGTTTTCAAAATCAATTATATTTACTTCCAAAATTATTAGTTTTTCTACATGCTTGATAACGAGGTTTCTGCATTGTTCAGCGAACAAATTCAGGCATTCTTTACAAGTCAACAAATCCAGCTGGCATTTCATTCTGATCTTGGTTGAATGGCCTGACGCAACAATGTCACAACATAGGCTAAGTCCGTGCAACTTCTTGAAATAATTTTTCATTACACATTATCACAATAAACATGAGGTATCACTTATTGATAAGTCTTGAACAGAGTGATAGGATACCTTTGATTAAACAAAACAGATATTGAAATGTCGTCGCAGACTTGACGTCATTGTCTTATAATATTTCTGCAAAATCCAGCGCACAACCATTTAAGTCACCGTTTCCGTCTTAATACCAGTTTATGTCACGGAGACAACAATATTTATGGCAAGTTTTTTGGTCTTTGTTTCTAGCAATAACATGAGTTATTTCAAAGTAATAGCATCCTGACTTATTTATATATATCTTGAATAACTATTAAGCGATTATATTAGACACTGTGAAACAATATCATATGATACTGTAATGCGATAACATGATCTACTGAAAAGAAGTATAATAAGCTACTCATCGATTAACAGGACCTCATGTTATCGCTTTACACCAACATTACTATATGTTATAAGTAAGCATTTAACCATGTTGTCGGTTATATTACTTCATGTTATCACTTCATTTTATCATTTTTTTCGATTTAAAGAAACATAAGGTACTTTAAAGCGAAAAGATCATGAATTGAAGAGATAGCATGAAGTAATACTATAAGCAATAGCATAAGGTTTTGTAAATTAAGTACTGTAAAGTGATGACATAAGATAATGTAAAGAGATTATTTTGGGTACAGTGAAGCGATAATATGAGTTATTAAAAGGAAATCAGATAAAGTAAAACATATCATGTTTTCGATTTACTTGACCACATATTGTCACTTAACAGTCATGTTAACACTTTACATAATCTTATGTTATCCCTTTACAGTACCAAGGTTATCATTTTTACAGTAACTTTATAGTTCATTATGTTACTGACTAACAGCCCCTCATGTTTTATTATTGCAGTACTTAATGTGATTGTTTTTACAAATTCTACATCACCTCATGCTCTTGTTATACATAACCCAATGTGGTCGTTTTACATCCCCTTATCTTATTATTATGCATTAGTTCATATTATTGCTTTACATTACCTCGTGTTATCGTTATTATTGCAGTACAAAATGTTATTGTTTTTACAAATTTTACATCACCTCATGCTCTTGTTTTACATAACTCAATGTGGTCGTTTTACATCCCCTTATCTTATTATTATACATTAGCTCATGTTATCGCTTTACAGTACCTCATGTTATCGTTTCAAATTGCGTCATGTTACCACTTTACAATACCCAGTGGAATCTTCTGATATCAATTTGCTGTTCTTAATAATATTGTTATAATTATTGTTTATGTTATCGCCTTACATTCTCTCAAACTATCACTTTACATTGTATCATAGATTGTGGACGTTTCTGTTGAATTTGTGTCCGAGTTAAATCGTATAAATATACATGCACTGTGCGTTAACTGGAGCCCATTGATTGGCCCATTTGTGCTTGGGTTTACTTATTATTACGGAAGAGAAAGAGAAATTGATAGAAATATCATATGCAGATGTTACTTTTTCATGTTATTGTGATAACAATGAAGATGTTTCTATGTTTGACTATGATACAAAAGAGAAAGAATATCAAGACACTCGGCAATCTGATTAATATTCTGGGCTACGCCCCCTCGTACAAATCAGTTAGCCTCGTGTTTCGACGCCTTCCTATTACATATTTCGTAATTATCAAATTACAATACATTGTGCTCACACTTTACAATGGCATCGCTTTACAGTACCTCATGTTATCGCTTGGCAACACATGTTATAATTATCATGTTATCGTTGTAATTAATTAATTAATTAGTGTATCATAGTTTGGGGACCTTTCTGTTGAAAATGTGTCAGAGTTAAATCGAATACATTACATGCATGGTGCGTTAACTGGAGTGCAGGTATTAGTTACCCGCACTCTAGAGCATGCCCATTGATTGGCTCATTTTTGATTACTTATTGTGACAGAAGAGAAAGGGAAAGCGACAGAAATATCATATTCAGATGCTTGTTCATTGGTTAGTTTTTCCCGGGGTTTCATATTGTGACAACAGGAAACTGTTTTTATGTTTGACTATGATACAAAAGAGAAAGTACAAATTAGATAGCCTCGTGTTTCGATGCTCTTTCTATTACTAATAGCAGCAATTATTAGTTTATGTTACCTTATACATCATCACTATACGGTACCGTGTGCTCACAGTTTACATTACCTTTTGTAACCGCATTAAGTACTCCATGTTATTAGTACCTCATTTTAGTAAAAAAATAAATTACATGTAATTCCTTCTGGTACTTGAAGGAACAAAAGTTCTGTAAAAATTAATGTGACATAGGAAGTCATTATATATTGTTAAGAAAATTACTTATTCTATTGGCCTCGTACGCAGCTGCAAAACGAATATCAGACTCGGTCAGCCCATCGTCCAATATAGATTCAACAGTTTTGTGCTCGTCCAATAAATTCAGTATGGAAATCAGCAATGTACACAACCTCATATTACTAGAAGAAGTCAAACACTTATTTGTAAAAGGCAAAGTTTATTTGTTGATATGATTACTTAAGTTAAAACATGATAATGGTAAAAATAGAATTAATGTGATTGGAATTTTAAACAGGCAGATATATCTAATGAGAGAATTTTTGCGCACCATATTTATTGTATTCTTGTCAACTATTAAATACTAAACAATCCCACGTTTATTCATTATTATTTTTTTACATAATTTATCCCAAAATATAAACAACCGTAATAGAATTAACAAATAAATATTATTTATTGCACGTTAATTAAATTATAGAAGGTTTAAAATATCATTATATTGTATCAATATGGCGGCCTTTAGATCATATTGACTGGTTATTCTAACAGTATCCAACTCATTGTTTTTGTTTCCCTTTAATCCAATCAGATCTGGTCATACGTCGTAGGCTTTCTTGTAATTTTACTGATCACAAATTTGTTTCCATTCTGAAAATATAAATGTCTTTATATAAACTCGGCAAATATTTGAATCCTATGTAAATAATGCTTGCCGTTGAATGTAGGCCTATATAAGCATGTGTTGGACGTAATTATATCTGTTCTAAAATTAAGAATTTCCATTTTGAAAATAAAAATTTATATAGTCTATATATGATGAATATCCATTCTCCCTTATAGTAATGCTGTGAGGACAAATATTTAAAAGTATTATAATAATGCTGCCGGAACATATATTTAAAGTATATCAGTTTTATCGATTTAAGTCAATATAATTTATTTTGTACACCTTTTACCACATGAGCATATTGTGAAAAATGGCCGTTTTCATTGAAAAGCCTCCTGTTACAAGTTCAAACTGCTATTTAACTATAAAAAGTGTTTCAATACTGATGCAATTTGGCACAAATGTTGACTGAACCATAACCTCTGTAACAGCATGCTCCATCTTAACTATCCTGTTACCATGGTAACGGGGAGACGTCTCAAAATTGCAAGTAATCACTATTTTGCATTTTTTTCCCATCAAAGCTGATTTCAAAGTGTTACAACTTAATGCATTGAGATGGAGTAAGAAAACGGGCACTTCCCCCTTCTGGCAACCCCCTGATGAATCATTTTGATGAGGGGCCGCGCCTAAAAAGTGATCGATTTTTAAACAACATTTCTCAAACAGAAAACAGTGTTTGGGGCCGAAATAGGTCAATTTTTATGCTTGAGGCCTCAAAAAGGAGGGGGTGCAAAAAGCCGTCAAAACACGTCTATATTAGGGGCAAATATTACTTTTGTTTTTGCATATATATGAACACAGATCTTTAACTTTGTAGGGGGGGGGGGGTATCTTGAGAAAAATTTTAATTTCTGAATCAAAAACGAGTCTTAAAACTTCCATTAATTAACCGTTCCGTTATTTACAGGTATCTGTATTCGTATGTGTATTCACATAAGTTTGAAAAAGCATGAAATGGTTATTACTTACCACAACATTTCTCGGAATACTCGTCCATAAACTTTTATTTGGTATCAGGTCTGTCCCTGTCGCTTGGTTCTTGAATTTCATGTATAGTATACCGGCAACAAAGTAAATGACAACGAGGGTGAAAAATCTGAAATGAGAAATTTATTAATTAAACGACATAATTTAACAAACAAGAAGTAGAATTGCTCGGTCAAAAGATAGAAATGCTGATGATGATGTTGTTAGTGATGATAATGATGATGATAACTATTATTATCATTATTATTATTATTATTATTATTATTATTATTATTATTATTATTATAATTATGATAATAATAATTATTATTATTATTATACAATGATGATCTTAATAATTATGTAAAATAAAGGGATACGTACGCTATTAAAAGTATACTTCCGCCGCTGAGCCCGCTAGAACCAGATCCTGAGCAAGACGTAGGTCCATTCGGCCCACATTTGCCTGGGCATGCGCATACTGTCGTCAACGTCATTTCCTGTTGAAAGATAAGAATGTCAATTAATTAAATAAGAAATTATTGTTATGATGTAGTATAATAACTCACGGAATTCATATTTTATTTCACATTCCTAAAATAGACTTCATACAAGTCATAGATAATGAATAGTAGCTCATTTTAGCTCAGGAAAATAAGTAATCGAGAATAAGGTAAGAACCAAAAATATGAATTAATATGTGATAACATGTTATGAGCTTTGAATCTGATTGATCAAATTTCGATTTAAAAGATATGTCTACGTATTGAATGCATTGAAACATGAACAGAAAATGTATTGTTATTATTTCAGGCACGCATAAGCACCTAGGTAGAACCACCGATGTTCCATAGGCTAGCAAGATAGCTTCCTCACATCAAAGAATCCAAAGACTCTTGAGTGATTCCAAACAACAGCGGTAATGGGCAACCGATTTGAAGTCAAAGACCTTAACCACTCGGTTACAAACGCTCCAAAAGTTTACGTTTTGATATATAGAAAGTAATGATAATTAATTTCGAATATAATCGTCATTTTATTACATAATAATAATTTCATTTCTTTTTACTAAAAGAGTACACAAATCGGATAATTTATTTACAAATTGTCCGGCTCCTTGTTCACCTTCTGGCTGGAATGTTGGCGTACACGCATTTGGATCACATATTAGATTTACTGTTGACAACCTGCAAGTGTTACAGGCAATAATCTATATCTGATGTTTGTAAGATAAAATTGAACAGTGAAATAAAAAATGAACAAAGAGTGCATATAAACAAAGCACTATGAAAAATGACAAATTCTGTAAGTATATGGTAAAGTATTTTTCATTAAAATGTTCTTGCAAGTCAATACAAACGTGCAGCCAATATCCACCATAACTGATATTCAATAGTCCTCCCCTCCCTAGCATCAGTTTTAACTTAATTAAATTTTAAAGTTGGAGTCATTCAAGCTTATAAATCTGTAAATACCTTGTAGGGGAAATACAAACATTCATATTCTAATAAAAGTGTGTTTTACAGAGTAACAGATATGCTTTCCTTATCTGTCAACAAAAGAAACTAACTGAGAACCAACACTTCCTTATGAATAAATCTTCTATTTCATGACTAGTGTATACCAATAACACCGTATCGTACTTGTCACTTTATTTCAGTGGTCATACATGCTTTGATATTTACTCAAGACACGCAGCCAACTTTTCTTACAACTTACGATGTTTAGGCGAAAATTCCCATACCTTAGAACACCTTTGCCTGACGTATAAGCTGCAATAACATTGTTACTATCATCATCCCATTTAAAAGCTGCTCTAGAAGCGTCTCCAATCTGTTGTTGTTCAGACTTGTCTTGATTTGAAACACAAACCTGGAAAACACCTCATAACATTTCGCATTTTAAAGTAACAAAAATAACGATTAATTTTATGGAGAACATTTCCACGTAATAGCAGTGAAAAACAATTAGTTCTGCTTTCTCAAATCCGTTCCTTCAACCAACCAGTACTTAGCAATAAATGTAGATTCTTGCTCAAGGAAAAACGACTTGCCCATAACAGGGTTTGGACCCACACGGTCAGCAACCATTAAATAAGTAGTCCGACTCGTTAACCGCTTGGCCGCGCCGCCACCATTGATTTGTTAACTGACCACAAAATATATTACTGGCAAGGCCACGTTGTTTTGTGTAAACCAGATCAGACAGTCCTAGCATAGCAATTGGTATGTTTTCTATAATTAGAATTAGATTTTGATTTTCAATGGAAACAATAAAAAACATTAGACATACTGCGGCGTTAGAACAATCTCCTTCATCGAAACCTCCGCACGGGTTGTACGAGTAATAATATCCCTCGTCACTAAACAAAACGTCTTTAAACCTGAATAATATAATTACAACACATCATAGACAACTTCCACACAACCTATAATTCATGTAAAATGTACATAATAATGACATTAATAAGCTGTTTTTCAAGTCGCCCAGGGAACACATTTAAGTCTAATAAGGTTTCATTGTCCGTCAGTGTCAGTAATCAGCTTCACCAAACCACAACAAAACTGTTTTCGTCTTAAGATCTAGATTTACGATAAAGGTGAGTATCATGAATTTAATAAATCATTGCATGACATTGCAGATTATTTTTCACCAAAAACATTGTAATCGCAGCATCTGAAAATACTTTAAAATTGTATCTATCCGGCTAAATGTCGTACTTTGGATAGATAATGATGTCTTAAAACAATTAAGAAAACGCAGTAAACTGATTCAAAAAGCAAAGCCCTAGATGATGATTCTTCTCCACAGGAGTCCACTCTGTCTAAAATACATTTACGACATCGTTTCAAATATCCATGCAAATTTTCGTCCTATTGCTGACGACACGGGCCTCTACATAACTATCAAAGATCTACTCCTCAGCTGTACTATTGAGTTGCGATCTTATAGAATTTCTTTTTGTCAAAAACTTAGCTTTTCTCGATTTAATCTTAAAATCACAACATGTTATTTTCTTAAGAAAACGAAACAAACCTCAAGACCCTTGTCTTGTCTTTGATGATGTGAATATTTCTAATGTTAAAGAATCTGAGTTGGAGAAATGATATGTAGCCTTCTTAAACCTTAGCGTGATTTAGGATAATTGAACTGGCATTGAATAAGTACAGCATGAAGAAGCAAGAATCAAAGGAGCTACTAAGCTTTGTAACATCAACAAATTAATTAACTACCTCAGTTAGGATACCTTAGCTGAAAGAAAACAAAAACTATTTCTTCTATACAAACTTAAAAATGGTCTCGCTCTTGATTATCTCTCTGATCGGATACTAGTAAATGTTCATCAACTTTTTATCAACCTTACACTCTTCGCTCTAATACAAATATCCCATTAATACACAATAACTCCTAGTCATTTGTTACTTTTTTTTCTTCACCATACATTCGCCAATGGAATTTCTTACCTTAACATAAGAAAGGGATACATCCACAGTACGTGCTTTCAACAACAAAAAAAATCTTTCATACAAATGCGTCGTCTACAGCGACAAAACATCTGTGCATTTTGTAGTAGGAAGAATCAAGAAACAACATACGTTTCTCAGGCAGACTTGGATGCAGCTCTTTTAATTTTGGATTGACTAGCTAGAAGAACCTTAATTTCGTCTCCTTTGTGTCGTATGGTGCTACTGACACTGTCACTTTCTGCTTAATAGTACTAGGTATCACACCATATGTCAGCAATTCTTTAACGATCTACCCTTTGCACAAGGGTTAATAATCTTCTTTTTGAGCAGTGATCGCCTAAGTACGATCTTAAATAAAAACATGTTCACACTTGTTCAGGGCTTTATTGCAGCATCAAATCTTTCGGTTCATAATTCCCAGCGCAACATTTCCCACATCTCTTTCCATTTGCAAACTCTGCGACACAACTATTATATTATTATCATAACCATACTAAAAGGAATGGCTTAATAAATTAAAAGCCAGACCAAAAAAAAATATTATTCGAAATTTTGTTAATTCAGATCAAAGTTGAATTACAAAAACATGCACTGGTCATATAAAGTGATATAATGAAGAGGAAACTCTTTCAAAGAAAGAAATTTATATGTTATGTTTGTTTTCCAATCCATAAATATTGTGATGTTATATGAAACATGCCTGTAAATTTACTAAACAAATCATTTTAAAACCTAACACGATTGGTCGACCCACTCCGGTAGTTTAAATTTTGTAGCCAATTATCAATGCATATTTGTGAATACACAACTTAGACAACGGAAAATCGATGCGGATGTACCGTACGTGTTGGGAATGTATTTTATTCCGCTGCAAATGAACATAGATTCCTCAGCTGCTGCCTCACGAATAAATAAAAATCATTTAAAAAAAGCCAATAAATTTAAAGTAATCTCCCTTATCATACTTACTTTGCCGTATTATCTGAATTTCCAAGACTTGTTAGGTCCACTTTACCACTGCCATCATCCATTGAACACGAGCATTCGTCATCTAATGTGCAGTCCTTACACGCAATATACGTTACATACGTTACTAGACAAAACAGCAAAAATGTTGCTCTCAAACCCATTGTGATATCCTGGTACGAACAATCCTACCTTATATTGTATTATTTTAGTTTTCAGTATCTTTTAATGAATAATAGTTATATTCTTTACATTAACATATAATCCTTTCTTATCATAAGCATTGAAATTTAGTCCAAAAACATTCTATAGCGAGCGTAGGGATTAGGTTTTGGAATAAGTAGATATATACATAAAATATGAGTTGACATTTAATTAGCGAATATTAGTACATCAATGTGTATCACATGATAAAACACAAAGATAAAGCTGTTCAGATATGTATACATTTGTATATATTTGTATATATGAAAGATAAATTATTTTCAACTCTATATGTTATGTCGAGTAGTTATCTACATCGAGTCAATCAGCAACTTGATACTGGGTGCAGTATAAACTTATCGCAAGGTTATGAGATAAAATATTTTGAACATATATTCCCTATAGATTAAACCATTTATAAATTAATTATTACTTATAAAATAAGTTTTGCTGTGACATTGTTTTTTATTAATATTTATTACAAATAATTTTTTCTGTGAGTATAAATTATAATGCTTTATTTTACTGCTCGTGCCTGAAATAAACAGTTATGACTATACGACTTATAATTAGTCCCTGCTTCCATAACTTTGTTTGCTCGTGCGCCTATTTGATGCCTATTTAAGTGTCGTTTCTTTTGGATATTGTGAGGACTTCGTTTCATGAATATTACCCTTTGTTTTCATATGACGCCTTAACAATTTTAGTCATTCATATTATTGTCTCAAGTACAAACATCGTCAAACAATGCTTTCATAAGCTGAGAAGAAAAAAATATGGTTGAATAAATTCTTTTGCTGATTCAATTAAGAATGCCTTTAGTTCTATACTTGTCATGTCCTTCAAAATTGCCGCCATCTGCCTAATCCACCACTTGATTCTATCACTACAATTTTAACTGCAATGTGGACACTCATTAGATACGAATGAACTGAAGACCCAGTGACATTTCTCGAATTATATCTCTTCTTTTCAGACACTTATATTTTAGTTTATGGGGTAAGGTAAAAGAGAAATGGAAGATTTAAGCTGACGGTTAGTTTCTCAGACGCCAAAACCTAGGACACAATGTTTGTCTTATGAGTGAGAGCTTTATGGGTGGGTACAACGTCTTGCTAAAGGCGAATTTGTAGTTGAGTTCAATTGTAGGCTACAAAGATGCTTTATTTCTTCCAATCCATCTTACGTAGCGTCACAGGATTTTTCTAAATACAGTGGACTCATGCTTACGATTTTGTTATGGACCAACTGCCCTTTGTTCATCCGGCATTTATTTTCAGAATATATCAAATGTTGTCGATACCACTCTTAATTATGTTGTTGCAGGACGACCTGCCCATCATGTATTTAAACTGCACGTACTCGTTTCAAAATTAGGCCACACATACATCTATGGGATATTTGGTCATCGTTTTTTCAGCGTGGTCATTGCAGACAATTTGTATTTCTTGAAAAGGTTTCTATGCATTATCTAGTAATGATTTAACAAATGATAACTATGCTAATTACTATTTCTTGTATTTACGATTTCTAGGAATCGTGGAAACACATTCAAATAAAATTTTGAAATTTTAATAATTGCCAAATCCTAAAATCATTTGGTATACATTGTTCTTACTTACACTTTGTTTTATATTGGCCGGTGCAATCAAGTAGGCACAATCAAGGAAACCCATTGGAAAAAAGATTTCGGTGTTTCCTGGGCAATCCAAGGTTGATTTTTAATTTGTTTCTGTAATATTTCAAATAGAGGTCTTTCTAAAGATCTTTAATTTTTAATTTATTATATAAACAAATAAGTTACTATTTGTGATTATTAAATTCATATTGTTCAATTGACACTTTTGCTAGTGGTCATTGCTGTTCTGTACCTTAAAATGTAATTTAAAGGTTTAATATAAGAATTTTATTTGGAATGTCCCTATTTCTTGTCAAATTGTACTATAATATGCTTTATAGGAGCTTCTACCTCTAGTTTGATCAGCTGCAGTTGAAATACCTTATTTCATTCGTTTTATTTAATTCTACATTTGCATCATTGTGGGTCGTAAACCGCCGTTAAATTTTGTCCTGCAATTTCTTTTCTTAGTTATTTAAAGCATCCCAATAAAAAGTAAAATCTATAGGTCGTAATTAACCTGCTGCAAAAAAACATACTAAGCAAATAAAATCCAAACGAGCAACGGAAACTAAGTATTTACATACCAGAAAGTACAGCATTTTTTATTATTATTATTAGTGTTGTTTAATATGCTTTATTACTTAAAGACAAGAACGCTTTGCCTTAACCTTAAACAAAGGAAATGTAAATTCCCTTCATTTAATTTGGTGTCTCTTTTGATTGTTTTGTTTTTCAGAATTTCATTCATTGTTGACTATAACTATTGTGAAAAAGTCCATTTGAGTTGTGTGCTGTCGCGATTTCACTCCCCGTGTGGTGAAATGTTTTAATAGAAGTCTTGAAGGTTCATGAAGGACTAAATTAGTAAAATTAGTACTTGTATATCAATCTGTTTGTTTTGTACATTTCTTTTCTTAAAGGTTTGCTATCAATCGGTGCTGATGAATTGACTTTATGGTCATAACCTTATCCCTAATTAAAAAAATCAGTTTATATTTAATACAGGTACAAAAAAACGCCAAAAAAGAAAAATTGCAAAAATTCTTCAAGATGGTTAATTGCCATTGTTTTGATATTACATACACAATTGTTCTAACATTACAAAAAATCACAATTGTTCTAATATTACATACACATGTATTTTATGATTTTGTTGTTGATGGTGAAGATGAGGACAATGACCATGATGATAATGCTGATGTTATTTCTAGCGTTGAGTCCATCCGCACCGCTACTGCAATAAGAATTTATGGATCCGCTTGGACCACAATTGCCTGGGCATGCGCATATCGTCGTCAACGTCATTTCATGTTGTAACACGAGTAAATAAGATTCAGATTAAAAACGATTTTTGCATTTTCTACTCTAACTGCTTCCCTATAATTCCTCTGTTCCGATGTTATAGAATCCATAAAATGAATGCTTTTATTTCAATATTCCAAATGAACTAAATATAGAAGGAAAAAATATCTTAGTTAACAAAATAAAATCGAAATCCACTTTATGATTTATTGCAAGCTTTTCTAATTGAATTTCATAGATAAAAAACAACTGTATTATGTTATTTATACAGAATATTGAAAATGACCGTATTCTTAATTTCTGCATATATGATGATAGTATGTGATCTTTGATACCATGGTAATACATTTTCCTCCACTGCGCGTATGGAATTTGGAATAATTATTCTTATCTACTCATGCTACTATCATTTTTAATAATTTTGTTAATTCGATGTTTATATAATTTTTCATGTTTAATCATCTTCTTTCAAGAAAGTTCTGTTCATGTTCATTCTGGAATATTTTTTCTCTAAGTAGTTGAGTATTCTAGATTGTTCATTGATAGTATATATATGATGAATGTTTGTACTTCGAGGTGTGTGCTAATTTATGATATTGTGTGATACTGATTGTGTGCTACTATACTGCTTACATAGTAATATATAAGTTTGGATTCTGTAATTATGTGGGAAGTATTTTTGATAGTCTGCAGTGGACATTGGACAGTGATTAAATTTGAGTTGTATACAATTGAATTTCGAACTGTGAGTTAAATTTTAGGACATTTGTTTAATTCAAGGTCTTGGATAATACTTTGTTAAACTTTATTTTCATATTTTCTTATATTATTGTAAATAACTGTTTTTCTTTAATTACAATAATTTATTTTAAAATTTGTTGCTGCGTTATCTTCTCTGTTGCGTTTAGCTCGTAACATCAGTGATATTAGATGATAAAAAAATATCAAAGCATGTTCTTTGTCTTTTCACCTATAATAATACTCATTTTCTACAAATAGCAACAACTAAAAATGGAAAGAAATATAAAAATCCATATGTAAATAAGCCAAAACAAAAAACTTTCATCGACTTTATTTTTCAAAATGTCCTTTACATGTTTCGCGGCAAATGGTATATCATGATACAATAAGAAAGGCATTGGTGCAAAACATCAAATGGCGTCCAAGCAAGAATTGCAGTAAAATGGGGTTCATCTAGTAGACATCTGATGACCAGATATTCTTATAAATTGTTCAATGGTTAATTGGATTTTACCAGAATTGTATATTATAAATAAATGGGCGGACAAAAGACCTTGTTCATCATGAACGTTGGTAGGCTATCTAGAGATTAGAATATTAAATGTATTTTCTGTGGAACATACAAAACAGTAGTCAAAATGAACAAAATCTGTTTTTGTTATTGTTATAATTGTATCAGATATAAAAAATAGTAACAAAAGGGACTTATATAGTAATATTTCATGCATTTTTAATGTCTTATTTAACAAAAATGGTTCCTATCAATACCTGGGGCTTAAGACACAGTAGTTATATGTCAATGCCCAGATAAGTACTAAAAGTAGAACACACACTGGAATGGAAAATTTGGGATGAATTTCAAAAAGACCAAATTCAGGATTTTTTTGTTATGCACGTTATATGGTTAAACATTATTTATCATTACAATGGAAGACTGTTACCTGAATTTTAGACAGGTATGAGGAAATTCACTAACATCGTATCCGTGCGTTCTTTAATAAGATATAAAAGGTACTTGTCATTGGTGATAAATAAAGGGCTATCATTAACTGATTTATTGGAAGATCAATCTACTATTTTCTTGAATTGCTTCAAAATCCTCGTCTTATTACATTCCTATCAATAAACCTTAAACACCTCATGTTAAAAGTGCAGACGAAAGTTTCTGTTCTTAAAATGTCACAGTATTCGGCAAATCAACATTCCATTCAAACCACCATAAAACCGATTGCCTTAAAACAAAATAGAACGAAAATTCGAGAAATCAGGGTCGATTTAAATATTTAGGGCAAAAAAAACGTCAGAAGTGCAAGCAGGGCCGTTAAAAAGAAAGGTACTTAAATAACTTAAATAACTGAAGCGTTTACTCACGTATTGTACGGGTCCCGGTTCACCTCCTGGGTCACAAATGAGATTTACTGTTAACAACCTGCAAGTGTTACTTACGATCACATGTATGTAATGTACGAAAAATAAATAATAAGAACGACGGAAATCCCTACACAGAAAGAAAGAAAGTTTGTTACAAACGTTTAACAAATGTTTATGAACAAATAATAATCCTTCGATGCG